CTCAGCCTCAGATCGTTGTCCACCTTCCAAGTGACACGAGGCCGTGGAACGATAATCTCCAGAAGACGAATAGGGTCATATTGGACCCGCAAAGCAAGATCCCTGTAGCCAAAATAGTGGAGATAATCCCGCCGCAAATCATGAGAGCAACCTCCAGTACGAGCAAGCAAGTGTCTGCCCCAGAAACACAGCTCCAGATATTTTCCGAATGAATATTTCCATGTGCTCGGGGACATAGGCATAACTTGAGTTTCATTGCCGCAAATTTTGCAACAGCTCCACATCAGCACGGCATTATGGAGCCCACGGAGCTTAGAAGGATAAGGCTGGACCAGGACACTGATCTGAGCCTCGCCATGTACGTACTGGCGGTGGTGTTCGAACATGCGTTTCTCGCAGCCGTTGACGGTACATACGGAATTTGCTGTGTGACAAAGGTCCTCTACATACTGCCCAATTGTGAGATCTGACTCGAAGATTGTGTCATCTCCATGCTCATTATAGAACTCCAGGGCAAAGGTATCTGGCCCTGAGCAGGGGACTGATGTTGTTGTACACACAACACTGTAGAGAATGACCAAATTCTGATGCGCATAAGGATCAAACATGTTGGAATTCCCCGCCACATAGGCTTCCCACTGGCGCTTTTGAGTTTGATGGTGATAAAGAGCCCGGTCGTACTCAGCTTCATGCGCAGCATGCAATACTTCCTTGACTTTTGCTGGCGCATCTTGCGGTGATTGATGGACCATTTCCGGGGTGATGAGGACAAACTTTTGTGGTTTGACCTTTTCATCGGTGATCTGATTAGAATTGCGGTCTTGATCACGAAGAGACTTCAAATACGAAAGCCTGCGTTCCATTTCGCGCGCACGCGTTAGGAGATACGGAGCCTCGAATTTTACGAAAGGAGAGGCTGACAAAATCTTTGTCTCGTAATCCTTAACCATATCGTTATAGTATGTCGGCATTGGGATGTTGTCTGGAACTTTTGCAGCATCGGCATCAACAAGAATTTGGCTATCAGAGATATCACCACGTTTCTCGTTGGCTCCCTGCTGAGCATTAGACGGGTCGACTAGATGTGCGTTGCCTTCGTGAGTGGTAATCTGCGGATTGAATTTATTGTCTTTGTTGTGCCCAACTGCTGATTCTTCTGTCGGCGAGGTTGATATCCTGCCGAATTCATCTCGCATAAGATTTGTTTCTAGACGGAGGTTGTACACAACGTAGATCATGAACTCAGTGATGCTTTTCACATTCCCGAGGACTTGATCATCCCCTCCACGCAGGATAATGGTACACCCGAGCTCTTTCGGACAGCCGGAAATGTACATATATGTTTTCTTCCGACCATTATGAACGTAGGTTTTCACGTCGAAACTGCTGCATTCACTATGCAATGTGGTCGTCAAGAGCTTGTCCATAGATGTCATAATCCTAGTCTGTGTACATCTCGACACAGCCTCTAGAACAGATGGCTTCACGTTGTATGCAGTGGCAATCCCAGCTTGCTCGAGGAGGCCAAGAGCCAGGCCAGAAACAGTTTTCTCGACCAAAAGCAAGTTTGGACGCAATGCTGCGATCCGACTGACCAAGTTTTCTAGAAACTCACGCTCTTGTCGAATGACAGGTTCGAGACTCATAAAATGTTGTTGTTGACGAGCATATTCAAGAGGAAATGTGATGATCAAGATGTTTGGACGTGAAATGTTCCGTGACATGCCTTTCAGGGCCAAATTTTTGGTGAAAACGAGTCCTGATACATAAGAAGTGTCACCAGGTCGGCCGCCCGGAATCTTCTTCAATTTGACGTAGTGTCGAATGTCCATATCATCTCCTTTTTGGACATCTGGATCAACCTCATCTGCTGCTTTCAACAGTATTGGCATCAAGGCGTTTTCCCAGCTGTCGCAATTTGGCACAGCAGATTCTACAAGCAGTTGATGGAGAAGCTTTCGTACGTGTTCCAGACTCGCTTTGTTCAATTCCACAGGTGGCGCATCAATGCCTCTCATTGATGAACTTCGAGTCATCTTGAACCCGCCCTGCTTTACATTCTCGGGTAAAGGTATGACTGGTGCTGAGTTGTCATGAGGGGGCATATTGTCCTTAGATGTCCTGGGTGAATGGCGCGGCTGATAACTGCTAGTAACGCTCAAGTTTCGACGTCGAGAAAAACGAGGGAGATTCACCGCTCTTGAACTCGTGATACTGGCTTCGTCTGCATCTCGATTCGTACTGGGAGTACTTCGGTCTCCAAAAGCAGATCTACCCTTTTTCATGGCAGCGAGAAGCCCACCAAATGATGCTTTCTCATTTTCACCCCCACTCTTAGACAGAGTGCCCTCAGAGACCGCAGACAGGAGGCTAGGTTGCTCATCGCCACTGGATGCATCATCCGAGAGATATTGAGCAAGGTCAGGGTCAATGATATTATCTTTATGAAAGGCAGGGAGTCGAGATTCAGCGTCTATGTCATCTGCATGTCGGCGTTGGAAGGGGGCTCGGTCTTCATGATATGGCTTGAAGCCCCGAATATATTGCTGACGAGAGTGGTGACGTTTGTGACTCATGGAGTGTGGTCTTCCACCCAGCGAAGACCGCAGAGAGCGCGAAGAGGTAGGTCGTGTTAGAGGGCGATCAGAATCAATTTCAAGAATTGCCGAGCGGCGGTTATGTCCCTCCCCAGCACGTCGTGTGGCCGGTATAGCCATCGTCGGGGTTCTCAGAACGTGATCGATCGATTGAGACACAACCGAAGATGAATCATCGTCATCCGCAGATGCTCGTCCAGGACTGGTCCAGGTGAGTTCAGAAACCCGAGGATTGGCCACTATGGGGCTCTGCTCGCTGTCGGAGAATTCAGATGAATCATCATCGTGCGCATTGATCATCTTTTCGCAGGGTTTGCAAACCCGAATATTCCCAGGCTGTCCGAACCGTGTTCCCGAAATGAGCAGAGTGCATTTCGAATCAAAGATTTGACCACAGGTTCGACAGTGGTGCTTTCTGCGAAATGTTGTGAAAGGTTCTCCGCAATGAAAGCAGTCTTTGGCATTCTCATCCCGCATCCAAAAATCCCTGCTAAGCAGTTTACTTCTTAGCTGCGATAAAACACCGTCGCTCCCGGCGGGAGGTTGACGCCTGGCTTGGCTAGTAGCCCGATCGAAATCAGTCTTCAAAGGCGGCAATGAGGAGACCGTTGTGGCAGTCTCGGCCGTGGAGGCCCGTGAAATCACGTAGCCAGGCAGCCGCGCTGCTCGGATTGAGTGCGTTGACTCCTCATTGGATCTACCGGGAGCTGTGACCTTTGCAGGCTCATTGGAGTTGGAGCTGTCACGAGGAATGGTTGTCTCCATGTTGGTTGGGAGTTTTTCAGCATTGTACGGTACTGGGTCATGAGAGGAAAGTTTTGATAAACTATTTGACGTAGAAACCGAAGCTTTCTGCTCTTCAGAAGGGAAAGATGCTCTTGATTTTGATCTTTCTCCCGGATGCTGAGATGCATGATCCTGAACTGGCTCAGATTGCTTGGTATCTCGCATGTTAGCTGATTGAGACGAGTTTTCAGGCAGCTTTTGTTGATCTAGAGTGGAGACGGACTTCCGAGACTGGTTGTCAGGAGTATATGTTGCTGAGTCTGTGAGGTTGAATTCCTCATGATGACTTTCATGCATCTTTGCAGACAAAACTGGTGAATTAGAAAGGTTCTGACTCAATGAAGAGGATGTTTGACTCATGGGAAGATCCATAGAGCCTTCCTTGCTACCGGTACTTGTCGATCCTGCATTATGGATTCCCTGGAAGGGGCCATTAATGGAGCTGCTTCTTGAGCAGTCAGCTTTCCCGACTACGTTCACATGAAGTTGAGTGACTGCAGGGTCTGCCACAATGGCGCTACCGGTGGCTTTCGTTAACGGTGCGATACTGGGCTTGATCCCAAGGGATGGTGACACGGAGGCCTTGGAAGATATGCTGCCATTTTTCGAGGATATTCTTGATCTCTTTCCTAGATTCGCTTGTTGCACAGGATCTTGATAAGTGTGGAAGTCTGGCACAACAGGCGAGTGTAGCCTGGATCCTTGTAACGAGTTGGGCTGTGATGGCAGATAATCAGCGGAGCTTGTAGCCACGTCTGAGACTGGGTTTGCCAGCGAATTCTCCGAAACAAGACTCTTGACTGCAGGTGTCTCTGTCGGATTTTTGTCTGCAGTTTTTCCGCCACCGCTGACAATATCCCTCACCCCTCCGACGGAAGTCCTAAAGCGACTATACAGACCGCTTAGTCCACCTTGCAATTCGTCAGACAGTCTTTTCTCATCCGATGTGGCAGCCGGGGCTGGCGGACTAGTAAACTCGTTGAAGAGAGTGAGAGACTCGGACTGATACGCTGCATTATGATAGTTATCCAGAGCTGCATTCATCGATTCTCGTTCGGTCTGAGTCGTGGCCATAGAGCTGCGTGATCCGCGTCGCTCAAGAGGAAGCGAATTGGAAGACCCCGATGGACTGTGTGAGTCCTGGGACTGCTGAGAATCCATCGCCAAGTTAGGCAGAAAGGTCTCAGATCATCTCCGCACAGGATCTAGGCACCGTTGATAGCTGACCATTCGGGCAGAACTGCGGGAAGGTCTCAGGTTTGGCGAGTTTAGCGAGTTTGGCAGAAGAAAGAGTATCGAGCGTCGATAAAAGCGTCTGTCAGACTGATCGGATCAAAGAAACTTCTTTCAAAAAAAAAAAAAAAGAATAGGTCCCTCTGCCCTCCGCACGTTGAATGACGTGTTGGTGCTGAGTAAGCTAGGCGCGTCCCGACCTCCCGAGGTCGATCTTGGCAGGTCACAATCGATAGGACGCGGTTGAGTGGTGGGTTTTTTTGACGACCTTCACTCTTTTTCTACAAACTCCAGGGCTACAAACATCCCATGCCCACTGTTTACTCTTACCAGCTATGACCTATATGCTGTGTACAACATTGACTACAAGGCTGGATTCGCACGATGAATCCAGTAAGTCCCTGGATCGCGGCTTTGGCCGACCAATGTCTCTCATTCTATATCGGTCAAAATGATCAAGATGAAGTCCAGGTGGAAGATATTGACGGATGTCTCAGCTTCAGTTTTTGCAAGCCGACACTCAAGACAGCCGTTGTTGTATCGGTAAAATACCCCGAGCGAATGCGAAAAAAAGGAAAGAGTTGTTGCTAACTGTATGTCTTTCGTCTGTTAGTGGGGAGAAGGAGAGAAGAGTCATTGCGCCACATTTACAGACTCAAAGAACCAGATCGATGCGATTATTTTACATGACTCGCCGGACGTACAGGGAGCAACATCACCCTGTCCACCGTCGCTTAAAGGAGGCCCTAGGCACCTAGTTGAACTTTTCGACATCAAGCTCATTTTAACGTACTCAGCACCTGCCCCGGATGTCTGCCTCCAAATTAAACGGTTTACTATCCACCCGAATGCGGTTCCGAGAGGGGATGTACCGAAACCAAAGCTCAAGAAAACAACGGCTCTTAGAGCCCTGATGACTATGGCATGCGACAAAATCCAAAAGACGCGAGGGCATGCTGGCTCCAACGATCAAACAAATGCTAGATTGACCGACCCATTTGCTTCTCAGCGTGATCGAACTATGCCGCCCAATCATTCTCAAACCAATATGGCATCACAGTTGCTCTTCTCCCAACCCCCGTCTAATATGCGCCATGGCGCACCGAAGAGTAATGCAATGACCAGTCGTGTTTCCCTCAACGGGTCATCAGATCTTCTAGGATTGCTCGCTCCTTCTCATCCAATTCAAACAAATTACGCAGCCGCTAGAGAGGTGCTCGAGGCCCACAGACTACCTCTTGGTGAAAGTGAAAGCAGGCATTCTCCCTTGCCAAATACAAGAAAGTCAGTGGCACCAGAAATTGGCAGACCTCTCACCGAAATAGAACCCTCGTTTCGGAGACTTGATAACAACACTGCTAATTCGACGCGCTCTAGTGAATATGTTACCAATCAATCTTACGCAGATATCGAAAAAGAAGTGGTAGACTTTATAGCGGAGTGTACGGGCACACAACCTCCCAATGATCATGGCCCGGCTCGCAATGTTGGAATGGGGGACATTCAGCTGTCGAAAAAAAGACATTGTGGCAGTGCAGATGTGCCAACTCACAATGATGACCTGGGCTCGCAGGGCCGGCAAAGTTCAAATACACAACCCTCCAAAAAGCGACAGCGCATTGATGCTGGTGAGGTGATTCCGCCAAATAAATCCGAGCGAGTACAAAACAAGCTCATGCAATCGCCTCCTAGGGTACAGATCGTAAACACCAAGACAGACATCGGGTGCCCGTCCGCAACAAGTCCATGGGATGGAATGATGAAAATACCTTTGAGCGAAGTTCATATTCCAAAAGACCAAGCAGAACTTTTGGAAGGGCTCAAATGGATCCCTCAGGACCCCGGTGTATCTACACCGCTATGCCATGTACCGCCTCGTCTTTTGACGCAGTGGAACAACATTGCACGAAGAAGACAACATTTGGCCGAAGAAGCAGAAGCAGAAGAGCGACTATCTGAACGTGCGCTTACCTCCACACCGCAAGAGCCCTCTACATCTCCCATACCATGGTCTCCGTCCCCCGATAGGGCCCCTGCTCGAGATGTTCTTCCACGGGACACCGCTTCTCCCCCAAGATACATACGGCCTACCAGAGGAGCTTCTCCGCCAACTGGCACTCAATATAGCGTTGATCAGTCTACAAAAAATGGGGATGTAGACATGGTGAACGGGTCTTGCAGTGCTCCTCAGCCAGGACCGGGGGATGTCGTCTCATCAAGAAACGATACCAGAACAGCAGAGCAACAATGTTCTCCATCTCCCGAGGAAGTAACAACAAAACCCAGAAGTCCATTGTCTTTGGACCATGATCCTGACCTACCCCAAGAGCACAACGCTTCAAAGTCGGTCGATGTGGTCAATGACCAACCCCCAAGCATAACACAGGAGCATTCTCATGACCAATCACCCGCGAAAAATATCCCACTTAGATCTGGAATACGTGATGAATCAAGCGGCGATGAGAGCGATGAGCCAGAGATGGAAACATATGTTCCTTTCGCTCTGGGTGGAAGCCTTCCGTTAAGCAGCCAACCTGAGCAGGAACCTACTAGCTCGGGACCGTCGCTTCCAAGATTTGCAGGGGGGACTATCCAAGTGGTGGAGACACCTGCAGCCAATACTACACGTCTAAATCCCGGGAAACAAAGCGAACAGAGAACTGGGGTTCAGCCCCCGAGCTCTCAGCAGCCATACTCTGAAGCTACTAAGACATCCCCCTCGTCCCGAATTCCGAATACCTACCGCTCGCAAGATAACCACGGGCACAGTGACTTATCCCAAGACGAACCACCGCTAATGGATGTGCTGGGTACTCAGACTCAAACAAGCAGCGTACATGCACTCTCACAGGCTACAGTTCAGTCGTCCCCAGACGTCGTACTTGATTCATCGAGACCTGTTCAACGACAGCGTGGGTCGTCTATCTTCCATTTAGATCCCTCAGACAACCCATCATCTTTTCCTTATGTCGGGTCTCACTCGCTGCCCACGTCTCAACTTCATGAAATAAGCCAACATTCTCCGGGAGGACTCGACGGAGGATCGCAGTTGCCGGAATTGTCGCCTATGGAATTCACCACCTCGGTCGCTGCTCACGGAGAGTCCCCATCTAAACGCCCTAAATCTTCACGCCCTCCGCGCTGCGAGGGTGTTGATACTGGCCAAAAGGCGGCTCACGGTCCAAATGTCGAGTTGGTAGCACGGCGACAAGGCTCTATCGGCAATTCTGACGAGTATGCCGAAGCACAGACAGTCTATGAAAAATTCTGCAATGATTATTCTCCGTACGCTGGTGGTTTTGCTCACTTCACTGAGATGTGTTCGAAATTGCAGGCAGTGCGGCAAAAGGGCCAACTGCAACGATCGTTCCTATGGGATGACTTTGTCATCCAATACCTGGAGGAGTACTCGCGCTATCTTACAGAGCATATATCTGAACATTCGAAGACACTAGATTACGAAGATTTCTTTTGCTCGAGATTCTCACGCCCTCACCACAAAAAGAGAAGCCTAACAGCCCACGGAATTGACATAGTCGCCTCTCAGTTTGTTCCGCCTACCAGTACCGAGCTAAGAAACTCGCCGGTTCCAAATGAAGTGACAATCCAAGGCGAGGTAACCCAGGATAAAGCGATACAAAGCGAAGTGGCCAATAATTCTTTCACGGCCAGTCTTGTGGGAATTTTTTCAAACCTCCATGCTCAGTCCTTTGGTGATGCTCCTGTTTCGGATGTCTGCATGCCAACAGCAACGCAGTCATCGTCATCCTCCTATCCTAGCACCGGCTCGGATTCAGTGATTGTGAAAATTGAAGCAGATGATTCTTTCAATGGACAGATTGGCTCCCAAAAAATCACCAGCAGCGACGATCAAAAGCCTGTGTTCTTCAATCATGACGAAGAGACAACCGATGCAACGCGATCCGACGCAGAGAGCGTTCGCTTCGCGCCTGAACCGAACGACGTTGACATGGCCGAAGCCGACATGGACGAAATCGAGGAGACACAGGAAGGAGATGGTACTCACCATGAGACTGCCAGTATTGAACTTGGCGATGACACTGACGATCGCCGCATCTCTGTCTCTCCCGCTCCGCCCGCCCCGCCTGCGGCCCTGGGCGCTCTCAATAATTCCGAGCCCAAGCAGCCAAGGCGACGAAGACCCTGGTTCCGGTCTCTTCGGAACATATGGCCCAAAGGTCCTGTGTGGTCCGATGACCCCGACACACCGTTCAAGCGCTGGGCTCGCCAAGACCAGAACGTTCTTCAGGAACTCAATCGTCGCGGTGGAGTTAGGGTCCTAACCGATGAGAAGGGTGTCATTCGTTACCCCACCTACAACCGAGATCAAGACAAGAACCCTGGTCCCTGAATATTGTAATTCTCACCTTCCATTCAACATTCAACAAGTATCTCTATTTTCTACGGGCCAGCGGCTGGCTCAGCGCAACGGCAAGCATAACAACAGATACCATTTCGTTTCATCCTTACTCAAGCAGAAGGAAGCATAATATGAGATGGTATACCGTCTTATTTATCTTATTTAAAAGAAAATTTTTTGTACGTTATCATTTATCTACTCTGAATATTGAACCAGAAGACCCAAGCCCAAGCCCTGAAACCCCCTTTCCTAATACTAGTGATAATACCTATATTGTATTCCATAGGGAGTACTCCGTACTCAGCCCGACAATTCACGGAATAGTAATCTTACGCATGTTTCATAAAGTGAAAAGCCAGACAATTCCCCCAATCGGATTCTTATGCCAAATTCCCCGTGGGGCCCAACCCAACGCCTCTGACAGCATCAAACATCGGTCCACGGGTGCAAATAGCGAAGTAGAGATCGGCAGTACTAATAGTAAAACAGGGCTCGAGCCTCGCTGCAGATCCTAGCTTTGCCCCCCTAACGCCCTCCACCTCCCTCGCAAGGGTCACTGTCTTATTTCACGATGGTGTTGGAGCTATGTCTGTATCTGGACCCACAAAGAAATGAGCCTCATGAGCTAGAGGAACTATTTCCATGCTGTAATGTATATACCTACAAACTAGGTCAATAGGAATGGGATTGGGGACCCCGAAATTTCTGATTGTAAGCTGTTTGTGATTGGACAAATTGGGCCATAAAGTGGTTCTACGAAGTTGGAGAGATTGAGCCAGATGGTATTTGGAAATGGATTTTGTAGTTGAAACAATTTGCAGGCAGATAGATACTAACGATTCCTCCGTGAAGGATCATAAAAATATATACAAAAATGCAAATGTTCCCTCCCATAGAGACCGTAGTCTCGCTATGCAAAATGGCGTGATGATCATCAAGAATCAGGAAAAGGACATGGACATTAAAAGCATGCAAAAAAACAAAACAAAACACGAGAACGCCTTCGTATCGCCAATCTAAAATCGCTTCAGAAGGGATGCACAGTCATTGAAAGCCCAATCTTTTTAAGCATGGCGGAAAGGCTCGTAGGCGCTTGACTGCTGGTTGTTGTGGGTCATGGGGATATCGTTGTTGTAGGTGGCAGCAGGGTAAGAGGTGCTGTAACCGTGTTGGGGAACAAGGGGCTGCTGAGAACCGAAGGGTGGGTGGGCGGCACCGATGGGCTCGTAAGTGTAGGGAGCCTTCTCTGCGGTGATGCCGCGGGGGCTGCGGTCCCTGTGGCCGTAGGGCGAGCGGCCGGAGCAACAGCAGGTGCTGAGCATCCAGAAGAAGGTTGCTCCCAGAGAGAAAGCGACTGCGAGCCAGGTGGTGGCGTATATGTTCTTACCCAGGCTTACATCGATACCATAGACCTCGAGGACTGTGCCGAGGGAGCTTTTTGCGATCGAGAACATGATAGTCGAGGTAAGCGATGCGCCGAGGGTGAAGAGGAACGAAACAATCGAGACAATCGTGGTGACGCAGCTGCCCCAGCGGCTGAAGATGGCGAAGACACCAAGCAGGACCTGGGCGCAAGTGGCAATAAACGCGACTAGGTAGGCGATGAACATCCACTTGGAGACAGCCTTATAAATTTTCATGGTCTTCTTCAGGTCGCTGCCAATCTCCTTCTCAAGCTCGGTCTCGCTCACTCCTAGGATTGTAGACGGGTTGAAGTAGAACTCGGCCTTGGGGTCTGTGCAGCTGGAGACGGTATCCGTGCTGTTGGTGATATTTCCCTCGCAGTAACCCCAGAGACCGATGTCGTAGAAATCAGAAATATTGGCATCAGCCTGCAGTGTTTTGATGGTCTCCGAGACCTCATCCGCAGTGACATCAGTGATACCGGCAGCACTGAGGCGATCTGTGATTTCTGATGTAAGTGCCGATCCTTCACTTATGTTCGAGAGGTCGAGCTATAGATTATTGGCATTAGCGGGTGCAGTAACCAGGTAGAATCTTGGATCACTTACACGAATGAAGTATAGATTATTCAAGGTCGAAGAACTGGCTTTTGTGCAACCCAATCCCACGAAAATGATGCAGATCAATGATGCGATGGTCAAGACATAGGGCGTGAAGATACACGCAACACGACCAGCTTTTCCCATGATGAAGATGTATTTATGGAAGATGGGAATATAGAGAAAGAGGTGGTGAAAGATGGATGAGAAGTGGAGAGGTGAGATGGAGGGAAGACTTTAATATAAATGCCCCTCCGCCCCAATAGACCTCGTAAACAACGTTCAACCCTGGGAACGCACAGCCTCACACTAAACAGAAACTCCAGCCTCCCAGGGAAGGAGGCGCAGGATCAGCGGACCAATCAGGGCTGAGCGGTCACGTCGCCAGGGCCACGTTTGCTTCTATTTATGGGCTAGACTAGTCCTATTTAAGTCTAGCGGCATGGTCCTTCATCTGCTTATCCCTACATCCACACAATCGACACAGTCAGATCGGATGGAAGAACTATATTTTGGAGATATGCTTTTGATTCGTAAAGATTATGTTTTACTGAATATTGTAGGCAGATTACACCGTCGGAAATACCCCTAAATAAAATGTAGACAGTGTATGTACACACAAAATCCAATCTATCAAACTTCGTCATATCTAGTTCTGACCGCCCCAGGATCTTCATTCCAAGTGGCCAAAACAGGCAATTCCCCAATCCGAGCCTCGTCACCCTTTCTACTCTGATCAGCCTTGTGGATCATTTCAAATTTTTTCCTCTCCGCCTCAAGACTGCGTAAGCCTGGGTATGGAGTACCGTACGGGATAGATGCCAGGCTCCTCTATTTCTCTCTTGGCATTATCTCCGTATCCCCACCTTCGTCCTATGTTGTATACCATTCCACTCGCACTCCGCTGTCTCTGCACGGGGCAAATGGCAAATTCCACTAATGGTGATGCCTTGTTCTATATTTATGATTTCCAGATAAACTTCTCTGAATCTGGGAAACCCCCCGCTCTGACGAACCGAACTATTTTTGCGCTGCCCGACAAGACATCTGATACATAAGCTATGGCCATCGGAAATTTGAGTCTTTTTTCTCTGATATTTTCAAGAAAAGCATACGTTCATTTCGAAAAGCAGTTGCTTTCTTTCTTTCTTTCGCATATTACAGCAACCGAACTCGATAACTCACATGCTGCATATGGACTATGTGTGTATGTTCGCATTTGCCTCAATCAAGAGATTTTACTCCAGATATGGCTCAAGCGTCGACAACATGCCCGTGTACGCCGCCCCAGTGGTAGGCTCCATACTAAAGATATAATCACCCCACCAAGGTCCGGCAGCCCACCACAATGCCCCGAGCCACACATCCGAGTTGTCACCCAGGTAATCAAGCATGCCTGTGATCGCCGCCTTGCAATCATCATTCACACCACCGGCAAACTCGCCTAAAACCCCAACCTTACCGTTATCCTTCAGCCACTGTGTCGCGTCCGTCACACGCTCTTCTCCGATCGTCGTCGAAACACATATCTCGCTCGTGCCTGATCCGTCTGAGTCGAGGTACTGGTGCATCTCATAGACAATCTTGTCTTGGGGGTCGGTTAGGTCCTTCAGGTTATCGTTCACGTCGACCCAGGTCCACGCGCCGGTCCAAGAGTTGCCCTCGACGAAGATATATTGGCTTATTGCTCCTGCTTCGCGGATGCCGTCAATGGCCGCCTGGTTGAGCTGTAGGACGAGGTCTTGGTCCATGTCGTGGTACTCGTTGTCTGTGCATGATGTGGTTAACAGATGTTTCGTGATACGACTCAAGATCTGGGGTACTAACTTGTGTCGAAAATGACCAGCTCATTAGAAGCGAATTCGCCTGCGACGTTCTTCCAGAATGTTTGAAAGTCGGATGTGCTCGAAATGATCTCGCCATTGCTATGTACACTCATCAGCTTCGATTCATTCGTTGGTTTGATGGAATATTTACAATCTTCCATAATTGTGCGGATCAAGCACGGCGTGGGATCCTGCATCGGTGATGGCTTTGACCGTCTGCTACTAGTTCAGTATCCGCTTGTTCCCTTAGGGGTAGATACGGCACAACATACCGCGGTCAGATTGCTAAGGTAGGCATCGTCAAACCCGCCTGTCATGGAGTCCGGTACCAGCCGTTCCATCAGGAAGTCCACCCGGAAGATGTTCATTCCTTTTCCAATCAAAATTTGAATGGTGCTAGCATCCGGGAAGATATAATCGGTTCCCTATTCCGATCTTTATCAGTAGAGATTCTCCGAAGACATATGTTTGGCCAACTCACATAGACGCCAGGAATTTGGTCCTCGCCAAACTCAGCTCCGGATTCGCTTGTCCCAAACCCTAGACGAGATATTTGGTCAATGGATTGTCAGAAACATCTTTTGGATTTATGGACTCGAACATTGAAAAGGCGAAGCTCTCTTTGCATGGTTTTTTGTAGGAACTGCTGCTGCGGGTCCAGCCACAGCGGCGAGGAGAGCAATTTGACCGAGTCTCATATTGCCGAGTCAAGCTCTTTGTTGTATGGGATAATGGTCAAGCTCAGATAAGAAGATGAGTGATGTGGTAGCAATGAAAAATGACAGCCAGGGTCAACTTGGGAATTTCATAGAGCACTTATTACTGAATTAATATATATCGTCGAATAGCTTGCAGGATAAAACGAGTACAAACAACCCCATGGAGATTGGAGATCGATGACAGAAAAGGACACGGAGTTTCATGGATCTTCAGTCCCTGAGACTAAAGTAGATTTGTATGTGTCGAATAGGTAGATGTACTCCGTGCGGTAGCCCCGTGAAACAGCTTCGGATATTACAGTGCCTAACAACAATACTTCATTGTCAATGAGGATCCACAATATCATGGGTCATGGTGAAAAAAGTCCTTCTTGGCGACCTCATGCGAAACGGATATCCAAGAAGGCAATGTCCCCGAGTCTTCAGACTAGAAGAAGCCTGATCCTTGTCCACAGACCAGCCAAGAAGAATTATCGACTGTACATCGTACATACCCCCAATGAATCCTTCTTGAGACACAGGTGACTTGCAAGCCCGTGGCGCTTCAAGTATCGATCGGCATTTAACCATAATTTCTGGCATGCAGGGGTAGTGGAGTGTAACATTCGTGAATAATCCATTGTCACTCAACTAAGAACACATTCGGTTTGATCGTAAGAAAACCAATTGTGTGAGTCAAGTAAGCGTGGCAAGTTGATTGTAAGCTGAACAGAACCATCGCGCTGAAAAATATTGATATTCACTCGCAGACAAATAGGAATACATAAGTATTTGAACCTTGTCCTTAGCAGTCTTAGTCCGACAGATAATCCTCCCCAGATCATCCGAATGAGTCTACCAAGCACCGAGAGAGTGCATGTGCTCTTTCATATCCGCTGCCTGCAGCTTGTGGTAAGCATAACCTGGGTGGTAGGAATTCCACCAGACACATGTAGCACCATCGCCACTGATACAACTAGCATCGGTGAATCCATATGTTGTAGGGGCGTCGAGGACTTTGCTCATGAAGGCATATGTATCGTAGAGAACGGTTGTAGTCTGCAGCCAGGTTAATTATGCAAAAATATATAATCGGCTTGAACATACACCACTATTATCTTCAATGAATTCATTGACCATTGTTTGAAGGGCAGTGTTGAAAGCCGCGAGCCACTTAGCGTGGCCGGCTGCAATGGTTGTCCCTTGATCGGCGATTTGTGGAGATCGGCTTGTAGGCGGGACATTGAGGAAGATGAACTTCCGTCCTCCATTTGCGTAGATATTTTCAGCTTGAGCCTTATACTGGGCCATGATCTTTGGAATCAGGACACTGGCATCGTTGCTTGACCAAGCCCAACCAATGCTGTAAATTGGAGTTAGTCTAGTCGTTAGCGGGGATCTAGGGGACCGTACTCATTAATGCCAATCCAGAATCCAAAAACTGCGTTGTCTGAAGTCCACGGCGCAGTATCAGGCTTCTGATTATATGTTGTCTCGAAGCTGGCGACTTGCGTTACCATATCTTCGACGTTGGTATTGACAAGGGAATTATCGAGAGATGCTCCTCCAACAGCAAGATTATAACCGAGGACTAGTGAGGCATTGTTTACGGTAGTCAGGTATCCCACCCAGTTGACACCACCAGTAGTTGTTCCGGTACCTATTGTCTTTAATCAGTCAAGCCTGTTTGCCACGTGGGCGAACAAAACCCACCCAGTGCTGGGTTGCCCATTGGGTTACTAGCAGTTGGCTGTGTGCCATCGATATCAAAACTAGTCATGGTATAGGAATCACCACTGCGGATGCTGTTTAGCTCCTTTCCCAATGGACGCTGAATAAAGGACACAGTTTATCACTCACAATGTGAAGAAATAACTGTTCGTATCGCGAGATTGCAAGGGAGCAGAGGCAGCCAGCCCAGCGCTGGCGATCATAGTAATGAGATGCTTCATGATGAAGAATATATGCAATGCCTAGTGTAGTCTGTTGCAAAGAAAATATTCACACGTCCATAGTTCTTTCCTTATATAGTCATCCCGTCTTAGGAAATGCTGTTTTCGGCTTAGTCTAGGGCGGAGACAAATAATCGAAACCATTTAATTGGAGTCTCTATAACAAGACCCTTTGATTAAATCCTTTTGTCAATCATTTCCTCAACGGGGGTCATTCCGCCTCATCCACATTGGTACAAAATACGGCGAACTCTCCGAAACTGCATGGTATATATACTAGAGGAGCTGGGTGGCTTGACGGAATCCCCGAAGACACTATGTTGTCCAATCGTATGGCTCCGCTGAAAATTGAATATAGGTTCGTCCTGCAGCTAGAATGCATGCCCTAATTTGCTTATTGCTTACCCGAGTAGTTCGCTACTTGTCCGGTTGATTTGCTATCGGCATCCCTCTCACTGAGTCTGTAGTCTCACATGGTATCATCTATGTTCATATTGTCACATTCAAAACTTATCTATATTCAACATCGAATCGGCATCATGCAGATAGGACTCGATCCGATTCGGCAGCAAACATCTCCAGGCCCACACCGCAGATAACCAATCGCGACTGACCAGACGAATAGTTTTTTGTGGGAAGGCCATTCCTAGGCCCATGGACAAGTCCCATTGATGATATATCAGCCACAGAGCTGTATGTATCCAGTAAGAATCCTACGATAATCCCCTTCGTGTCAGGTTGTGTAGGGTCCACGGCGATTGACCATATCTTGACTCGGTGATCGTTGCCAGAAGATGCCACAGTGATTTTAATGGTGTCTGTATTTGATGTAACATCACGAGAAATTTGCTGATTGAGAACTTTGACTGTGGTAACTGCCGCAGCGTGAGCATCTGGGATAGAAACCGTAGCTACCTGTGCATTCGTGCCGGTGTTTGATGGATTTGTTCGTAGGAGAGACACGGAGAGAGAGTTATCATCACCTCCAGCCACAATAACAGTGGCCGTGTCAGAGATAGGAACCAGCTCCATCCCCTTGATACTGTTGGAATGAATCTGATACCGACTTTCGCATGTGATATTTTCTGGTGAGATGGAAGAGCCTTCGAAGGGGTGCTTGGCCTTCAAAGTGGATTGTGTGATAGTGTAAAATGGTTCAAGTGTGCTTGTTAGATCCCACAGTGTGAAGTAGCCATCAGTCGCAGCGGTGATAAGGCTCACAGAAGAGCTCGTGACCAAGAAGTGGGCTTGTGTCAAACAGTTGGTCATGTATTTCCCACGAGCCAGGAGAGTGAATTGGCCCCCATTAGATGGGGAGAAGTGGAATATCTGCAATGACGTTAGTATGGTCGTGGTATTTGAACGAAAGAACTACCCTTACCTTAAAAATGGAGTTGGAAAGAGCAAGGCACAGGAGGAAACCCTGCTCCCCGTCAACATCCTCTACTTCCAGCAAATCGAAACTAGGTATCCGGAGATCTGAATTCGGGTCGTCCTTCGGACTCGCAGCCACCAATTTCGTGGAAACCCCGAATATAGGAATGGTGCGAACTTTCCACACGAAAAACTCCTCGTATGCAGCACTAGTGAATAGGTATCTCCCATCCTTGGACCAAGTCACCTGCTGGATGCCAGACTTGTGTGTATCCAAGACGCGCAGACACTCAAAGCTACCCCATGGACTAGCAGCCAATGAGGAAGTCGGCGTGAAAATACGAACAGTAGTGTCCTCTGCACCAGTCGCAAAAAGAGGCCGATCTCCATCAATGGGGTTGAAAACATCCACCGCTTTGATTTCCCGCCCGTGACCTCCGGCTCGAAGCAAAGTACTAGCACCAGCTCGTACACGAGTAGTCATCAAAGAAGTTCCGTCCTTCCACGTGAACAGCGCATTGTTTTTTTTGTCTCCTGGCATAAAGTCCCAGCCTCGGCGAAAGCCACCCGAAGCAATGGATACGATATCCGTCAGCTTTGACTCATTGCGCAGGACGAAATCTTGAGATCTGAATCCATACAACATGAAATCGCCAGTTGTTTTATCGAAGTAGGCGCCTTCGATGTTCCCACCGGTTATAGATGCTGTACGGTGCACTGTCTCCATCGTTACATCTTTTCCATTCCCGGAAAGCTGCAATTCATGGAGACAATAAGTTCCATCTCGCCCACAGGTCAAGACGAAGTCTGATTTTGTGGTATCGCTCGTAGTAACAGATGTCACAACGCTAATGTGATTGACAAACTCCCGGCCATGAACTCGACGGTTGACCAACACGGGCTCGGCCTCGGAGCTGTTGTATATTGCAAGGGCGCCGAACTTTGATCCTATAATCAAATATTGGCCATCGAAGATGAAAGATGCACTGCAAACCACAAATGAGGATGGTAGGGTATAGGTGGTTATTTCGGCATTTGGATGATCGCTGTTCCAGTCTGAGACGTTGACAACTGTTATTTCTTCCCCGGTAGGATAAAAGACAAGGAATGCGATGTTTTTAGAAGAATTCGACATATCCATCTTGGAAGAGTGAGTCTGAAGGAAGAAGATTCCAAGGGGTCTGTTACAAACGTCCGTGATGCTGATGACGGATTTTGTAGCGTGATTATAGAGCCGAATGAATCCTCGGAAATTACCAATCAATGCTAGACCCATCTGGGGTAAAGCAGCAATGACGCCAAAAGAAGCAAGGTCAGGTGCTTCGCATAGTGTCTCCCAAGTAATGGCAGTCTCCTCCGCTTGGGTAAGATATCCAAGTTGGATCTGACCTTGCGTAGAGGTGCGAAGAAGGCAGTCTTGGGCGGCAAATGCGAAGGCTTTCGCTCCATCGGCTGTGGGATGCTTGTTCTTCGCCTTTACTTGCGAGCTAGATAATTGCTGGGAAGAAGCACCAGAGCCATTGCCCAGGTGTTCATCGTCATTTTCTTTGATGGGGAAGCTTTTCAGTGCACCATCGGCACCTCCGGTATAAACCACAGTCTCAGAGCCAATTCTGCAAAGATCTAGAGACCAAATGTGCTTTCCAATATGTGTTTGTATTGAAGTAGTCTGGCTGAGCCGATAATCATTCGTCCCAGCGGATGATGAGTGCCAGCTTAGGTCCCACAAAACGCATGTGCAATCCTCTCCACGAGAAACCAACCCCATATGGGTTTGGTTATTATGTTTGATGGCCCTGAAATAAACACCCCAAATACGAGCCGCGTGAGCAAAGGCCTGGACCACACATGATTCAGATCCAACGCTCTCCTCGCCTGCCTCAACAGGACCAAAACCTGTGCTTCGCAATTCAAACCCGTCTGTGGAGTATGCGGAAGGATCTTGGGCTGTCTTGTGGTCACAATCTGATATATCCCAGATTCTCACAGTTCTATCATCACTGCAGCTGGCAAGTATCCTGCCAGACTTGCCTCCATTCAAGGACGGGATCTGAGGAGAAATGCGGACACCGAATATTGATCCGTCATGCCCCGTGAAGAAATGGTGGATAGAGCCAACTGCATTAGCTTTGTGTAATCCATTTTTATTCAAGAAACACGACCACACAATGATTTCTCCGAAGACCGTACCAGCTGCAATGAGAACGTGGGAGGAAGACAGTGCAATCACATCGGCGGAGTAAAGGATGGACTTCACACTTGTCGCCAGTTGATATATGGATATTGTATTTCGCCCAGGCATCCCGCTGTCGAGCACTTCGAGACTCAGGAGGGCATTGTTCGCGGTGATAAAAAAAGCCCCGTGATGGCCACCTGTAACAGCTGCGCACCCACTCATGATCCAATCTGGAGCAATGAACTCGGCACTAGAGGCCGACAACGTGACTTCATGATCAGAGATCAAAACGAGGTCAACCGCTCGGACTGAGCGACCACCCCAGACGACTATTTGGACATGGTTCGAATCTTGATCCTGTGGTCGTTGATTCAAAGGAATGAAACCATGAATATTGTTCCTTTTGAATATTTGGATTTGAGCAGTGACAATACCGGTGATTTCATCAACCAGCCGGAAGAATGTGCCTTGACTTTGAAAGATGAATCGTCTATCACCCAATACAAACGCCTTCAACGCTGTTATCGGGAGAAAAGCATCAATATGCTGCATCTTGAGTCAGCGGGATAGCATTTGACTACAGATGTGGCAACACTGACCTTGAGCGAAAAAGACATTGCCAACTTCTACGCACATTAATCAGAGAAGCGATTACACGGATTGTCTCAATTGCCTCAGATAAAAGTGTATCCCGCCAAACGCCAAAAAAAGCCCACCAACTACTTTTTCGATGATTTCCCCGGCATGCTTATATAATGGGAACGCTAGTCCATAAGAGGTAAGATTACACACGTGATCTCGCGATCGAGCGCGGGAGCGACTTCTCGGCAGAGCCTCTTTCGCTAATCAACCACCTCTACATGTGGATTTTGTCTTAAGTGCCCGACCTCCCCAACACACACCCATGATTCAATACCCCTTTGACTAGCCATGGGTGTTACCGGCCTCTGGACGGTCGTGCAGCCCTGCGCTCGCCCTATCAAACTCGAAACACTGAACAAGAAACGACTAGCTGTCGACGCGTCGATCTGGATCTATCAATTTCTGAAAGCGGTACGAGACAAAGAAGGCAATGCGCTCCGAAATTCTCACATTGTCGGATTCTTTCGTCGTATATGTAAGTTGCTGTATTTCGGGATCCGGCCTGTCTTCGTCTTCGATGGCGGGGCCCCGGTCATGAAAAGGCAGACAATCGCTGGCCGAAAAAAGAAACGCGAGGGTCACAGGGAAGATGCTGCGAGGACCGCGGGAAAGTTGCTTGCCGTACAAATGCAACGCAGTGCGGAGGAGGAGAACGCTCGTCGACGCAATAAGACCCACATTCAAGAGGAAGAAGAAGTGCCAGATGTTCCGGTCTACGCAGAGGAGGCTTTTATGACAGAGACGGAAAAGCAACAAAATCGCAAGTTCAAGAAAAAGGATGCGTACCACCTACCTAACCTAGACGTCTCGCTTCAAGATATGGGAGCGCCAAATGATCCACGCATTATGTCCCAGGAAGAACTGGAGGAGTATGCTAGACATTTCCACCAGGGTCAAGATATCAACCTTTACGATTTTTCCAAAATCGACTTCGACAGCTTGTTTTTCCTTAGTCTGCCCGCCACTGATCGCTACAACATCTTGAATGCAGCAAGGCTAAGAAGCCGACTTCGAATGGGTTATTCAAAAGAGCAGCTAGATACCATGTTTCCCGACCGCATGGCATTCTCGAGGTTTCAAATCGAGCGTGTCGCAGAACGTAATGACCTTACGCAACGATTAATGAATATAAACGGCATGAACGGAGACGAAGCATTCTACAACTCTGGGAAGCGCGTTGCGGGAGAACGTGGCAGGGAATATGTACTTGTCAAGGATAGCGAACATGAAGGTGGCTGGGTACTAGGTGTTGTGGGAAACAGGGAAGGTCACGAAGAGAAGCCCATCGACCTAGATCGACCTGAGATACTGTCCGATGAGGATGAGGTGTCGGACGAAGATGAGTTTGAGGACGTTCCAATCGAAGGTCTGAATCGACTTCCCAAACTTCCTTTCCTTCAAGAGGGTGTATTGGACCGGTCGCTCCAACTGCAAACGAATGAGGTTTTAGACATGAGAAGGGCTATACAAGAATCGCGTCATGCTGCACAGCAACAGTCAGTGAACGACCGCCGTGTGCAAGAGGTTGAAAATGACTCGCTTTTTGTTGAAGCCGAGGGGAATATTGCCGCACAGCAGCAGAACAACGACACTGATGAATTCTTTAATGGCGATGGCGATGACGATGACCTTGAACGAGCTATTGCCCTTTCATTACAACCAGATAAAGTCGACGACGAAGATATGCCTGATATGCCCATCAATCGACCGGTAGAATCAGCTCCATCCTATGAGATGGTACCAGATCTTGATTCCGAGAGCGATGATGGAATGGACTTTACTGCAGCCATAGCAAGAACAAAGGTCTCGAAAAAGGTCTCACATGCACCAACTCGATTCGGTGGTCCTCTCCCTTTTGAATCCATCAAACTCACGAAAGTCACGAAAGATAATGATAAAGCTGGCGAGGTTGGTGAAACTGCGGGGGGTTTCGTGAAGGGACCTACAGAGAAACCAAAACAAACTGACCCACTTCCTCCTTGGTTTGTTGGCGAACGCTCAGATGCGGGATTCATCGTTGATCCCATTGAAGATCCTGAAAAGGATGATGAGCGATCTGCAGTGCCAGATCATATGTTCCTCTCCAATCGTCGCTCGCCGGACATTATCGATGTTGACGAAATTTCCACCACTACGGAAGTCATTGATCTAGAGAAGAGGGAGAACGAGGAGGCGGAGGAGGAGGGGAAGAAGGAGAAATCCAAACAGATCTTTCAGATGGAGGACATTGAAAAGATTTACAATGAGCTTCCTACAAATCTCGATGAGAAGCCATTGAGCGAACCAGCTCCAGCTCAGGTCAATAGAAATCTTGATGAAACGGCACTTGGGCGCCCTGGAACACAAATCCAGGACACAGTGCCCGCGCTTGATGAGCAGTCTTCACGCGGCGAAAAATCTCTTTCGCCAGAATTCGAAGATGTTGTCCCTCAGCTGCCCACCCAAGGACCCGAAATCACTGTTGTATCCCATCAAAAGGCCCAGCCCCAACCTCAGCTCTTCGAAGAGGTTGAAGACTTTATGCAGGACCAAGCCGACTATAGTGACCCGGAGGATGAAGAGCTGTTCAAGCAGCTTGCGGCTGAGGGTGAGGAGCACGTTCGATTTGCCAATACTCTTAATTCTGCTGCTCCTAACCAGGAAGCCTTTGACTACGAGCAAGAATTGAAGCAACTACGGTCTCAGCAGAGAAACGAGCGTCGCGATGCAGACGAGGTGACTACTATTATGATCAATGAGTGTCAACAGCTCTTGACGCTCTTCGGATTGCCTTATATTACCGCGCCTATGGAAGCTGAAGCGCAGTGCGCCAAATTGGTGTCGCTAGGCCTTGTGGACGGGATTGTCACGGATGACAGTGATATCTTCCTTTTCGGGGGAACGCGAGTCTACAAAAACATGTTCAATCAAAGTAAATTCGTCGAGTGCTACTTGACGTCTGACTTGGAGAAAGAATACGCCCTCCATCGACGGAAGCTTATTAGCTTCGCCCATCTCTTGGGCAGTGACTACACAGAAGGCATTCCCGGGATTGGTCCTGTCACAGCCCTAGAGATACTCACCGAGTTTTCCAGTCTCGAAGAGTTCCGCGATTGGTGGACCGAATTGCAAATGGGTACGAATAATGCAGAAGATGCTCACCTTGCCTTCCGGAAGAAATTTCGAAAGAAGGCATCCAAGATATTCTTGCCTCCTTCATTCCCTGATGCTAAAGTTGACGAGGCATACCTGGAACCCGCGGTTGACGACGACCCTTCCCAGTTTCAATGGGGCGTTCCTGATTTGAATGCGTTACGAACCTTCCTCATGACGACAATTGGCTGGAGCCAAGAGCGTACGGATGAAGTCCTAGTACCGGTTATTCGCGACATGAACCGGCGAGAACAGGAAGGCACACAGTCCAATATCACACATTTCATGCAAGGTCCACAGGGCGCGGGTGCATTTGCGCCTCGCGTTCGTACAGGCGGACCCAGCCGCATGGAAAAGGCATTTAGTCGACTACGTCAGGAAGCTCAGACGGGCGAAACCTCTCAGGATGGCGAGCCAGCTAGCAGGGACGGAGAGGGGAAAGAAGCCGCTATTTCGCAAAGTAAAGGCAAAAGAGGTGGCTCAGCCACTAAAGGCAAGGCGGGCACGGATAAGAAGCGAAAGACCCGTCACGCCACCTCGGATTGAGCTCAGAACTCGGAGGTTCCCGCACGGCAATACATGTCCACTACAGAAGTTGGTTGATATCTAGACTTTAAATAAGAAATCTTGGTTATTGTAAGGAATATATTGCTTTAACCTTAATGCTGTAATGTAGCTACGTGCTATAGTACACTCTAGTTGCACGGATCGACCCAGCAATAGCGAACCCACGCCACAACACGCGTTAGCGCACTTACGGATAGTAGAGCACCCGTAGAAGTAGGTCAGAGAGGTAAAAGAGTATATATTATGTAATATTGCAGCCTGGTCTCAACAATTAGGCATAATAGTATTCCCTTGCCTGAACGACTCTAATAGTTTGCCTCGCTTCGCTCAGCAAAATAAATCATCGTCTAGCCAGATTAGGCCTAGCTCGTATGTATTCTGCCGGTTGGGCCATTATGCCAAATCTCACCGTCCCTTTTACCGCATTAGAACCTCACTTTCGCGTGAAACACACACGAGGCTTATGATTTAATTGCTTAGCTTCGTTCCGCATTCATATATCTATCTACCTTGGTGATGTCTAGAGCCGACGTAAGGTGGCTTTCATAACCAACTTCGGCTGTACCATCGGCGCCATCCTTATGGCAGCATCTTTCGATTTGCCCAATTACAGGTATTCGTCTCCACCATTTACCTTCAATCTACGTACAAAAATCGTATGAAGACATATATGTAATTTGGAGACAATTTGAGTAAGCAATACCACCACCGAACTATTAATATAGATTACGACCCTGCTGCAAAATGCTGAAAGACCAGCTTTCTTCCATCACTATTATCATGGCTTTTGGTATCCCTCCTGGCTCTGGTAAAGGCCATGAGCTCGCCTGACCAGTATAAAATGCTTTGTTCGCTCCTGACTCTACCACGTCTCTACACACAACCTCTAGATCTTTATGCCATGTCTTGAAATCATGATGATCTAATACGACTAGCTTAAAACCACACATTAGTGCAAACTGTAAAACAATCCGATAGAACGCCGAATTCTGTCCGGGCGACGTTTAGTTCTCATGGAGCTCTGTTATCGTAGTCAATGACGTTATATGAATGGCTGACGTTTTTATGATGAAACTATATCCACTCGCGGGATGGCCCTAATCCGGTCATTACTATACCGAGTGACAGCTGTGTTGCGGTATAAATATCCGGAGAAAGAGCTGTCGAGGAACTTAGTTCATCATTTTATACTTTTCTCAACATTGAACGTTTCGTCAGTATTCGACAATGTCCAAGCCAGCCCATTACAAATCCATCAACCCGGCAACCGGTGAACTCTTTCAATCGTATAAGGATACTACCGACCAGGAGGTGTCCAATGCGTTGGATAGAGCACAAGAATGCTTCACCGACGATTGGCGACGGCGTACTATCGCTGAAAGGTCGGAGGTTCTTCACCGTGCTGCGCGGCTCATGAGTGACCGATCAGAGCACATGGCCACACTCGTCACCAAGGAGATGGGTAAATTATACACCCAAGCCTTAGCCGAGGTCTCACTCTCGGTTGATATCTTGACATATTATGCAACGAACGCCGAGGAGTTCTTGAAAAGTACCACGATTCACGAGCACGGAGCTAGTTCTGAAGTCATTTGCGAACCGTTCGGCATCATTCTCGCCATCGAGCCATGGAACTTCCCATATTATCAATTGGCACGTGTTGCGGGGCCCCAATTGATGGCTGGAAACGTGGTGTTGCTGAAACATGCGGCACGCGTGCCGCAATGCGCGCTCGCATTTTCTCAGCTCTTCGAGGATGCCGGTGCGCCTGAGGGCGCGTGGACGAATCTCTTTTGCTCCATATCACAGATTGAAACGATCATCGACGACTTCCGCGTGCGTGGTGTAACACTTACCGGCAGCGAGCGCGCGGGTTCAATCGTCGCTGAATGTGCTGGACGAAACCTGAAAAAGGTCATCCTTGAGTTAGGCGGGTCGGACCCGTTTATTGTGCTCGAGGATGCGGACTTAGATTTCGCAATCGCGGAGGCCTGCGCTGGACGTATCTGGTGTCTTGGCCAAGTCTGCTCCGCGCCCAAGCGCTTTATCGTGGTTGGCAAGGAGCGTACAGAGCGCTTTATCGAAGGCATGAGACATCGGTTCAGCTCTCGGGTGGCCGGTGACCCTATGGATCCTCGCACTGCTGTCTCTCCGCTGTCCTCGGAAAGTGCTATGAAGGTGCTTTTGGATCAGATAGATAGAGCTAAAAGCCACGGAGCCACGGTACTCTTTGGGGGTAATCGTATTGACCGGCCGGGCTTCTATATCGAGTCTACGATGATCACAGACGTCACTCCGAAGAACCCCATTTTTTATGAGGAATTATTCGGTCCAGTTTCCATGGTGTTCTCGGTAGATACAGATGATGCTGCCATCGAACTGGCCAACGCAACTAAGTTCGGCCTTGGTTCGTCTGTTATTAGCGAGAATCACGAACATGCCCGCGCCGTGGCAAATAAGATTGAGGCGGGCATGGTTTTCATCAATTCGTTCTTTGTGACAGTTCCCGAGTTACCATTTGGAGGTGTCAAGAACTCCGGCTTTGGCAGGGAGTTGTCTGAATTGGGAATTGGAGAATTCATCAACAAAAAGCTCATTCGAGTGGCGCCTGAATCCAAGAAACTCGTGAAATATGATGACTAAAGTGTCTATAACTTTTTTTTAGCTTGTTCCATAAGATTGTCAATCTCACTGTTTTCATAGTAAGAGTTACTATAGCAGAATATCACTGCATTCTGTATGATCTGGTCGCCTTGCAATGGCCAACGGTAATAGCCTCTTCAAGTTCACAGGGTTTAGGAATGCCTCTGTTATCTTCGAAAGTCATGAAGGTCACAAAAAGTACTCCTCTCTTGGTTCTGCTTTAGAATTATATGGCATAATGAGCCTACCTCATCCTTTGGCCTTATCGATGCTGTCTACTGGTTGACAAACTGTGATCCTTTGTGGCTTTTAGGCCTTTGTCCCTTTGCCTCTCCATGGGGCTATTTAGAGCTTTTCATCATCAGCAACTATCTTCTGTTGATTACTTCTTGTTTCGTTAGCCATCTAATGGTCGCCTCTGCTTCCCACGTTGCTGATACCCATGGATCAGGGTGCATATATACGATATTTAAGCAAAAGAAAAGGTAGCTTGACTTCTCAGTTTGCGATAGAGCTGGAAGAGATCCGATATACGAGAAGCGTGTTTACCTGACCAATATAAAATGCTCTTCCTTGCCCCTCACTCTTCTTTCTCTTCTACCACGTCTCCCCACAACCTCTACCTCTCTATACCATATCTTCTCCATCTATTTAATGACATTCAAGGTGAGAATATGATGATCAGATACGACTTGCTTGAAAACACACTCATTGATAGTCTTCGTCTTAGTCCCACAACCATACGCCTCAAATACCTCCCCTAACCTACACTCTCTCGCCACAGAGCTAATACAAATGACGCTGGTTATATAATCTGAACTGTTTCGAGGATTTGCTTGTTGGCTACAGATCTTAAACATCTTCGAGAGTGCAGATATGCTTCTCTTCGGGTTTTTGATATCCGCGATCACTCACCAAATCTCCAAGGAAGTGGTCCCAGGTTATGACGCAGACAAAAAAAAAGGAAACTCGATCTCCGATTAGTTGGAGATGAGAGTCCAAAGGCCGAATCCCTTGGCCGATCAGTGATCTCGCGTGGTCGTTTATCATAGTGCTGATCTTGCGTTCATCGAGAAGCAAATACGCCATGGCTCCGGGAGCGCTTCTGCGTGTGTCTGCGTTATTCTGCATGCATAAGTCAAGCGTTCAAATGCTCGAGATGAACCCATGGGTCATATCCAGGATTGTACCTATAAGACAAATCGGTACGGTCTCCCTTTACTTGATAGGTCGGCAACATGAACGTATAATCGGAAATTTCCGTACTATCGTTCGTTCCTTGATATGGGAATTGCTGCCACTGGCTCGATTGCAGCTTTTTGAGGCTGGAAATGAGGGCTCATTTTGTCGACCACTTGGTATGATATACACTATACTCACGACTTACCAATGTACTAATATTTATAGTTACGGGCTGCTCGAGGTCACATGACCTCTACGCTCTCTGTCCCGGCACCTGGATAGTTTCCTTTTCCTCCTTACGCAACTCAAGAGATTTTCCAGACCACCTACGTTTCATCCCGTGGTACTCTAGATTCCATCTCTCACAGGGGCACTACGATGAAACAATTTTCCTCAGAAAAGTCAAGAACCGAGAAACCTTCACCATCAGGAGATGACCGGGCAAAGCTCTTGAATGAACGCTTTGGCCGATTAGTGACTGCATCCCTTCAAGCCCAAAGCCATTTATAGCCAATGTCTCATGAGCTCTCAACTTCCATAGCTCCATGAATCAGACCTCTGTCATTATCATCAGTTACTCTTGCCAGGTACAACCGTGCCCGGGTGGAATTAAAATCCGAGACCACATGGGTTTTCCCCACGAACAGGCGTTCCACGATCTCCGCGATCAGCGAGTGGAACTGGGGCACCAATGGTATAGCTCTATACAGTATGCAGTTTCAGTTCCTCGATCTCAAAGCCGTGAAAAGGGAATCCAGGCACTCGTAGCTACTGTCGGATTGTAGCATATAGCAGTATAAGCGTATATAATGCAACCTTTTCATAACTCCATGACATCAGGGTGGAAGTCAATGACGTCGGGTGATCGTGAAGACTTGAAAAAAATGGAAAAATTTGCACCGCGATGCGATCGGCCGATTAATAGCTGGAAGGAGTTGGCAGAGGCTGATTTCATGCAGTGAATGCTCTTTATTGTCCTAGCGTCGTCGAGTTTTCGTGCTCGTCTGGCCAATCCCGAGCCCCTAAAGCGTCCCCGATCAGTCCATTCCCCTTGGGCAGAAATAGTCGACGTCACATCCCGAGAGCTTCCAGGAGAACCTCACTTTTCTCCAGTTTTCATTGAAAAGGACTATACCTCCCCTGTCCGTTTGCAGTTTATATTTCTCGTCACATCCAGCTCAAGTACGTACAAGGAAAAAAAAAGAATTCCCCTCTTTAAGCTCACGTCACTACTGCGCAACGGGAAAGTCTTTCTTTTTTCTAATTTCTTTTTCTACAGGAACCTGAATCTTACATCTCTACCTCTCTACAATCATCTTCCCATACTTCACTTTCCTATCCGAGCCATATGATGCATCGCACCTATTCCATGCGCCAGTCGCGCATCCCGACCGCCTCGCAGATTGAGAGCCCACTACCACCAGTGTCCACAACCAAGACCGGGAGATGGCTAGGGAAAGGCGGAATCGGTGAGTGCGATTGAGATATTGTTGCGATTGGCTTCGATGGAAATCTCCGAGGGTGTTTGTCGCGTTGGAGGCTGCCTAAGATTGGGCCGCTATCGACCTTCCCCCGCCTCCGAGAGACGGCCGAATTGGAGACCACCAGTCGTAGAAGAAAGAGGAGAGATCGCTGCGAAAAGTGAACTAAACTAACATCTACAATCAGGTCATGCTTTCCGTAAGAACGCCGCCGGTGCCTTCGGACCCGAGCTCGCCAAGAAGCTGTCGCAGCTCGTCAAGATGGAAAAGAACGCCATGCGCAGCATGGAGCTCGTCGCCCGGGAGCGCATGGAAGTCGCTGTATGTTGATTACCCCGAATTTGCGATCCGCGCTATAACGAATTGGAAACTGACTCGGTCGCCATAGCAACAACTCTCCATTTGGGGTGAAGCATGCGATGAGGATGTGTCGGATGTGACGGACAAGCTCGGCGTGCTGATCTACGAGATCGGTGAGCTAGAGGATATGTTCGTTGACCGCTACGACCAGTACCGTGTCACCATTAAGAGCATCCGCAACATCGAAGCTTCCGTACAGCCCAGCCGAGACCGTAAGATTATCTCATCAGTGTTGAACAACTCCTCAGCATTAACTAACTAAATTCGATCTCTAGGCAAGCAGAAGATCACTGATGAGATCGCCAAGCTGAAGTACAAGGACCCCAACTCGCCTCGCATCGTCGTCCTGGAGCAGGAGCTTGTCCGCGCCGAAGCCGAGTCCCTAGTCGCCGAGGCCCAGCTGTCCAACATCACCCGCGAGAAGGTCAAGGCCGCGTTCCAGTACCAGTTTGATGCGCTCCGCGAGCACTGCGAGAAGGTCGCCATCGTCGCTGGCTACGGCAAGCACCTCCTCGACCTGATCGACGACACCCCCGTCACTCCTGGCGAGACCCGCAACGCCTACGACGGCTACGACGCCTCCAAGGCCATCATCCAGGACTGCGAGGATGCCCTCACTAACTGGGTCTCCTCCAAGGCCGTGGTCAAGTCTAGTCTCTCGCAGCGCTCCCGCACCCTCTCCCAGCGCCACCGCTCCAACCTCAGCAAGAACCGCGAGGGCGTCGATTTGTCTGCACAGGACCAGCCCTTGGCCGGGGATCGCGACTCTTGGCTTCCAGCTGACCAGCACCCCACCTACGAAGACGCCGATGATGGTGTGAGCACCATTGAGGGCGAGGAGCGCGGCCGCGAAGAGGACCGCGAGTCCATTGCCGCATAAGAGATGGGCGAGAGAAAGACTGCTACCTTGTTTCCATCACGAATCTGACGGCTGAATTTTCCAGGGCAGATGCATGGACACGATGAGATCTATTCATCTGTCCGGTCGGTTCTCATCTCCACGTTCCTTTTGTCAAAAATCAATTCCCATCCCCCATCCCTTGTGCTTTTGATCTTTCATATATGTTTTTGTTTTATTGATTCCGTGCTATTCTCGAAGCAGACGCACATCAATCACGTCTTGCAGCTTTGGGACGTTTGACGCCTTTTCTCTTTTTTTTTCACATGAAATGTCGTGATCCAACGGCTATGAATCGTGCTTCGGGGGGAAGTCCACCTCTCCAAGCTTTTGATCGGACGTGGGTCTAATTTCCCTTTCCTTTCTCCACGGAGTTTGGAGATGTCACTCTGAGATCCAAGTGCGATTGGGAATTGTCTGGTTTTTTTTTTCTTTGTTTTGTTCCTTTTTTCTTATTTCCATTCCCTGTTTCTACTTAATCGATGTAATACCATCTTATGTTGGCTTGTTTTGGTTCTTTTTTTTTGTTTTTCGAGGATTAGGATAGTCCAGGGTAATCAAGGGTGTTCTAATGGATTGTTTGCAGGAATTTATATTACTACATCCAGTATAACTCCGTACGGCTAGGCTGATTTATAAAAGTGCTGTCTGTGTGGCTGTTCGTGCAGTTCGCCTGAACAGTGCAGCCCTGTAGGCTGTGGGGGGGCAGACCCTTACCCCGGAAAACCGACACAGCACATCCGATTCTCCAATGGCATTGGATCTCCGTGAGGCAATCGCTCTGATATAGCACGCCAGCTGGAGCACGTCACCCGCCATTGCTTTTGCGTCTTTGCGATTACGTATGTACAGAATCCGATAGAAGAACAGTAGTTACGGAGTACGGACTCCGGAGTAGAGATAATTCGTATAGCAAAAGATAAACCCCGGGGGTTTTAGATTGTATTCCAGTCCACAGATAGCTAGCAAGGACGGAGGAAACCAAAGAAACAGGAAAAAAGCAAGTCCCAGAGCAATAAAAAGAGAAAAGATATCAAATATAAAAAAACCAGTACCATATAAAGCAAAAACTAGGATTGACTTCCCCGAGTCTGGACCACAACACCGCCAACTCATCTCCTTTCCCGTAAACCCCGGGGAAAGAGAGAAAAATGAAACAAGCCTTCGCAGCACACGATCTGATGGAAAGAGGATAGGAAGAGTTGAGAGGATGTATAGAAGGTATAGAGCCTGGGCAGGAGTTGTAAAGATAAAGCCCGATGGCAGGAAGGCGAGCGTAGAGAGAGGATAGCGGATTCAAACATCAAACGAAAGTTGCCAGATCTGAAGTGCAAAAACAAAGACCATCCCTAGAAGTCGAAGAAGCCACGGTCGGGAGATCCGGGCAAACGAGAAGAAGAGAAGGGTCGTGACGTCGTCATTTTGTCTGCGCTCATCTACCCTGCCAGAACGGAGATGGGGTAGATAAGTGTAGACACCATAGCAAAGCGAGTAGACGAAAAAAACAAAACAAAACAGAATGCTGATTTGGTACGGACGCCTTGTAGAGGAGACCGTACGGAGTAGGCTGAGGAGATGATACAAAGAACGGCGAACAACAACGCAAACAAACAACAAAAAAGCACATTCTTCCATTTTGGATCATCACTCCTCGGTGCCGACGCCCTTCTTTTTGGGCTGAATATGTTTTTGTCTGGTATTGGCGCCAGGACCTTTTAGCTCGACGGTCGAGCTATCCTTAGCCGGGGCAGGCAGACGAGAAGAACCGGCATCGTGCTTCTCCGTGAGGAGGTTCTTCAACCAACGGTTCTCCATCTCGAGCTGTGCGACGCGAGCCTCGAGGGAAGCGTTCTTCTCGGTGGTTTCACGAACGGTGCGTTCGAGGATCTGCTCGCGCTGCTTCTTCTTCTGACGGAAGCGAGCGCTGGCGGCGGTATTTCGACGACGGCGATCTTCCTCTGCGGCACCGCGCACGCCCTCCTCTTGATCGAGGGCGGCGGCGATGCGATCGCCGGAGATGGTGGTGCTGTACTTGGTGTTTCCCATCTGGCCGTTGGGCGGGGAGATGGACGAGGACACATCGGACGGCGTGAGGGCCCCCTGTGCGTGGCCGAGCTCGTCGGGCGCATATGGGACTGGTGGGTAAATGGAATGGGCTGAGTAGGGCATCATGTGCTCTGGAAGAGTATAGTTGATGGACTTCTCGCCGGCAGGGCCTATGGATGGAGTAAGCGATCGAAGTCGATATAACCCCGAGGGAGTGAGCCCCATGGATCGGGAAGTGTAAATCATATTCCGGAAGGATATAAGCTCAAGAAGGGTCTCAAGGGGATGTGCAGTTCAGCGTAAGCTGGCAATTGGCCGTTGTCATTTCATTGCGGGATTGCGTGCTCGTGCATTTAAGGACCACCGACGGTGATCTCCTTCCACCATTGGAGATGGAAGATGCATGTCACAGCTCACATCCTGGGCTCTGCAGCCTTTTTTCTTTTTTTTCTTTTTTAAACCCTCGAAATGAAATTGGTGAACATGATTGTGTAGGGGAAGAAGAGGTTTCAGCAACCTAGTTATCCAGGACTTTTTTTCTTTTTTTAAAAAAAACCAACAGGGATGAAATCATGCAAGAAAAAAAAGACATCCAACTTCAATTTTCAGACTTGGAATTTCAAGCCCCGAACTAAAGCTCAGACGCAGAGGCGCGATGGCGTAACAAATGCAACGTTGGGCAACAAAAGTCTCAAAAGCTTGACACGTACCATGATAGGGATAGCCTCGGAGATCGAGAGAGCTGCGATCGTCTTCTATACTCTCATAAGAACTGACAGATAGACCGCCCATGCCTTCGGTCTGGTCATAATCCATATTCGCGTTGCCAAACGGGACCAGCCCAGTATCAGCGTCAAATGAGTACTGTCGGGTCTTGGCTGCTGGATCGTGACGCGACATCAAAAAATTGAAGTTCTCAAGTTTGTCGAAGACGGGACCCGGGCCTGGTAGAGGTGGTTGTTCCCCCGGCATGGTTGAAGAGGGAAAAGAAATAAAAAGGAAGTTCAGCCCCCTTGGACCTTTAGGGTTATGGGAGAAGAAGAAGAGGGGCTTTCTGATGTTTAGAGACACCCCAGATCCGGGATATTTTTTGAAGCAAATCAGAATCACCCTAAAAAGGAATTGCCAATTAAATATCGACGAAAAAGGCCCCAAAAAAAGAAAAAGAAAGCAGAGACCAGAGGAAAAAAGACCGGGAAGGTTGAGCTCTCGGCCACACGATCTCGAAAAAGAAAGGTCACTTCATCGTCGCATGCCGCGGGAGTTCCACCTGAACGAATGAGAAGAGGAATAAAAGGCCGTTGGTTTAAAAAAAGGGGGGGGGCAAAGAGAAAGACCAGGAAAAACGATGCTAGTCGATGATCTGATAGAATGGAGAAATGTCGTGATCGCGAGTTGTGGTTCGTGGGGACATTCACCGCTTTGGATGTACAGAGTATAGATCGATCAGTAGTTAGTTACGGAGTATAGAAGGGATAGTTATAAGATATCAGATATAAATCTATATATATATCCAGCTTCTCCAGATTCGAAATATCAAGCTCTTCTGGAGAAAAACAAGACTGATATCTCCACTTGCCTCGGAACCAGTACCTGAGGCAAAGTACGGAGTAGAATATATGGAGAATCCAGGTACATGCAGTATGGGAGTATGTAATCGTATCAGAGTGCGTAAGTGTATTCTATATTCAACATCATTCGTCCACTTTTCAATTCAGCGCATCACAGATGACGCGGACTGGTAATCAACACCTTGGCAACCGGGCCCAAAATCCCCTCCCGCGTCGTCTAGAAACATTCGATCGTCCCTATGACATATGTTGCTACCTCCCACAATTCAAGCACCTTTCCTCTGAGCTATGATCTGGGCGGCGTCCTCAATCGTTATACCTCGCACTCGGTGCTCCACTCTTTCCTCGCCTAATACGGTATCTTCCGCAATGGTCCGATAGATCTCAGCAAACCCTCCATAAACATCGGCTCCGACTCCATTCCATCCGCCTTCCGCATCAAACATCTCCCCGATCCCACGCATTTCATCCTCCCACCGGTATGCCTTGGGACTCATGCCAATCACCCCATTCGTGGCGAGCGCCGCAGTGCGTGGGGAGTATTCCTCCAGCAGCGCCAGCAACTCCGGCAACATCGACTCCCTCTGCGCAGTGGAGAAGGACAGGATAGACAGCGCGGTCAGACCTTTGGTCAGCGCCGCAAAGGATAGTTTGAGCGTGGATGCGGCGCCAATCCGAGACGAGACAAGCCTTATATTCAACACGCCGGCTAGTGTCGCAAACCCAGGGGCCAGATCCACCAATCCAGACAGCACCACGCTAGGTTTCTTCCAGCTCCCGTCTTGCGTGCTTTGGGACGGCGGCGCACCAATGATTCCGCCATCGAGGAAGTGGCACCCTCGGCCCCCGTCCGTTGTGGTTGGCTCGTCGAATTGCGCCGCCATCTCCGACGCCAGTCGGGCGGGGACTGCGTTGAGCTCGAGGTAGTATAGCTTGGACCGCTTCGGCGGGTTTTCTACGTCCTCCACCGCCTCCCGGAGACTGCCCGTCGACGGCAGTGCGCACGCAGCTGCGATTCGTCCCGCCGTCGCCACTGCGTTCCGCGGAGGTACGATTGACAATACGTAGTCGGCTTGGATTACTAGCGCTTGGTCCGAGGGGAGGATCTCGATGCCGGCTGAATGGATCCGTGCCAGTGTGTGTTCACTGGCCGAACAGCGGCCGTTAGTTTCTCGGCTTTGGTTTTCGCCTCCGGTGTTCGTACCTTCTTCCTTCTGCGACCGTGACAACTCGGTAATCGTGGGCTTTTAGGAGCCTGGCCATGCCGAGGCCCATGTCTCCGATCGACACAATTCCAACTGTAATGGGTCTCATGGTGAAGAAATTGTTTCAGGTCTTAGATGACAGTAGGCTTTTTTTAGGCAAATTAGCAAAACACCGAGTACTTATGGACTTCTACTGCGGGGGTGTATTTGCTTCATTTGTCAGCCTTCCAACCTGGTTGGTTGTAAGTCTGTATAATGTGATTGCCCCGATCCCCAGTACATATACACATGGAGAGTGACTGGAGGATTTAAGCTTATCTTCACCTCTCAGCCTGTGTAGGGAAGTCCTTCTGAAAAGGGGTCATTCCTAATTCACATACGGAGTAAAAATCGGGAAATGGATCAGGATACCTGTTGGCATAATGTTTACATCAACTGACATTCATATCCCAAGATGACCAGGTCCTAGATACTTGAGACATATCAGGTACATCCACCTGTCAACCCACAAAATCATAAGGTACAAGGTTTTAGGGGTCACGTACAACATAGTTAGGTGCATGGTGAAGCATCCTGTCGATTTTAGTCATGGAATTCGGTGATCATTACTGCATATGTACTATATCCGGCTTCCAATTTCTTGCTCCCCACTGTTACAGAAGGATTACTATGTGTCAATGAGGGCCCGAGAGCAAAAGATATTCACTGGATGAGGATATGTAGTTTCAGCAACTGTTTTGGTAAGAATATTGCCTAGGTGGCCTTCTTTTATGAACAGCCTCTATACTACCTTCTATCAGTCATACCATTTCATATCACCGCCCCATATTCTTGAGGTCTATTTGTGGGTTTTATCCTTCTGCCTCCCTATGGTCGCTGTTGGTAGAGAGTGACTCCAAAGTGTTGTGGCAGAATACACCCCGGGCAGCATTGACCGCCTTGTGTATACATCACCCATCTCACGTGGATGATTCCTCATCCTCTGTCTTTCCACTCTCATGATCTCACCATTTCCCCGTAGGGATGAATGCACAAACCCTAACCAGGCGGCACGATATCCTACAAACCCTCTATGGACGAGTCAACGACTGTAAATCCATCTTTCTCTCCCCTAGCGATCTTCAAGGTCTCGGAATCCAAGCATCTCAAGTGGGGATAACAGATGACGGTAATCTGCAATTTCACCCATGTTTTTTTCGGCCTTACCTGGAGCGAGTCCTCCAAAAATATCCAAAGGAAGGAGGTTGCCTTCCGAAGCTGAATAACCGCCCAGACTTTGATTCAATTCTGAGAGATGTCCTCACAGAATGTCCAAATGTACAAGACCCTCTCAGATTGGCAAGAGATCATTATGACGAACTTATGTCGGTGGCGGGACCGCAGGAGTGGCTTACCCATGCCCGGGAATTACAGTTCTATATGGACCGCCAGCATCGGGCTCGCCGGAAGGGACGGCCGCCATACACTTCTCTTATTGACCTTGGGTCTCTTACACTGCGGGAGTAAGTAAACAGTGATTCTTTTCAGGAATTTGAATATATATGGTGAATATCAAGCAGGGCGAAAAGAAAGATGAACGACCCCCCGGCTTTCCGGGGACTACTGTGGGGCATACTGGCGCATAATGGATCTCCTAGAAGACGGTGACGAAAACTTCCCTATGCCACATGCGATTATGGAAAACATCGCACACGTCCCCGCAAATCATGCCGACCAGTGTCTCACTCTCCATGAAGTAAGAGCTATAGTGAACATGATGCTCATTCGGACATCCCACAGGCCCTTCCGGAAATATCCTATCCACCCAGTAAGCAACCTACATCGCATCCATGGATTATAGCCAAAGTCTTCCTAATCCCCTGCCTCTACCTGTCTATAGTTATTGGTTCTCTCCTATATGGGCGAACAGCACGGAAGGATCATTCAAGTTTCATTTGATGGAGAAAGTTTGATTCTACAGTATTCTCAACTGTGGAGCTTCGAGGACGACGATACAGCACCGGTGGAGCTCTTCCTTCGCTACAATATAAGCCAGCTAGTTGGGCTGGAGAGACCGTACGGATGTGTCCGATCACTTGCGAAATCGGTTGCATCAATGAACTTAAATAAATAAATATAATACTAATAACCTAGTCCAGTGAAACTCCCAGGGCCTGGCTTGTGAATCTCCAAGTCAGTCAACAGGGTGCGTTGAAAGATACGTGTGGGTTGCCTAGCAGGTTAAGCTACACCCCATGATAGCTAACTAGCAAACAAATAGTTCTAGGTGTTTGTCCTCTATACTAATATGTTATGATTGCAAAGGTCAACCATATAAGCAGGCCGCCGCTTCCCACTTTGCAACTTGCTTCTTCTTTCTCTCTCTCTCTATCTTAGTTATTTTGAATTGATACACTCTTCTATCCTTGCAAGACTTGGCACGTCACATAATACAGCTCTCTTCTGTCTCTCACCATGCCCTCAATTCTGGCAGCTGTAGAGGATGCAGAATGGTCCATACTCTCCAGAACGATTGACGAGCAGGTAGCTCATGAGTCGCTGATGAACCTCCTCAAGACTCTTACAATCAACGTTCCGGTGTGGACTGTCGATAGACTTCCTCCCATAACACTGTGTGTCTCGGTGGTCAAGAGATGACTGCCTGCACCAATGGTTATCTTGAAGGTTCCCATATCCGCGAAACCTTCGCCATCATCGAAGTGAAAGCGGCGCGACGAAGCTGGAGCGCACGTCCTGAGGTCCTATGGCAGGAAGCAGCACAGATGGTGACATGGATCGTGACTGATGCGAACTTCCGGAAGTGTCTTTTTGACCGGTAAGCTAGATGTTGAATGTTTATATGCTAACGAGAACTTATAGGCGCCTGCTGATCTCACAGGACGAAGACGATATTTATTTGACACTTGCCCAGTACCCGTCAGAATACCCCGCATACCTACAAGGAGAGCTCAGTCCTTCAAGGAGAACTGCACTGCCTTTTCTCACCATGCAAGAGTATGGACTGTGGGTCATTGAAAGCAAAAAGCAATATGCATCATTTTGCTATGGTGATTATGAGCTTCTGCCTTCAATTCACGGATGAGACGGACAAGGTTCGAGCGAGCAAGGCATCCTCATCACAGGGAGAGGCGTCCTCGTCTAAGGGAAAAGGCCGCTGAACTTACTCTTGAGAGGGTTTACATACCCCGACTTCGACAGTTCAAAATCACGTGCTGCCTTTCTCCTGTCACGATCGGAATGTTGGATGACGCTGGAGATCGTTGATAGTTTCGTTTACTTCTTTGCTTCTTTGCTCCTTTCCTACTTTTCGAGATATCGGGATTTGCATTGGTTCTCTCTCCTTCGCCCCCGTTTCTGTTATTTTGAATCTATCACAGCTCCTATTCGAGCAGTTGTATCTCTTAACATATCACTAAAGTTAAACGAAACTGAGAGCTTTACTAGTACAATTTTGAATAGTTCATCTTTTCAACCTCAGGCAATAGTGAAAGGCCAGATGGGCCAGGCACTGAAGGATACTACCCAGTACTAGAGTGTGTCGGGCCGGCCCGAAGAGTGATTTCGTCCGATTGGACGGCGCGTCGGTCCTTCCGTAATCCGGTCCCGATGGGAACTATGTCATCACTCCTGACTTGCCGAGGTATAAATTCTACATAGACCGATGTGGTTGTTCCAATATCTTCACCCTAATTTTTATACGGGCTTTACGGGCTTTACGGGCTTTACGGGCTTTACGGGCTTTATGGGCTTTATGGGCTTTATGGGCTTTATGGGCTTTCATGGGTTTGGTGGGTTTGATTGAATGGTCGCTGTCTCAGTAGTTCCTGTTTCAGAGTTGAAAGCCGATTCATGAGTATTGCTGGGAGCTACTTGATCTATGGTTTAGGAGATCATTGGGCGCTCCGGACAAACCTTACTAACATACAGAGAATATGGACTCAGCCCAGGCCGGTCTCTCAACACGGCTGATCCCAGAAAGCCCAATCTGAAGGGTCGAAACCGCCATTTAAAGACAGGCCTGTCCCATCCATGTCGCTAAAAACTGCATCCAATGCATCATCCGCAAGCTTGGTGGTTCCACCTATTACATCCATGCTCTCCCGCTGCTCGCTTATTTTCGGTTCGTACACGCAGTGATGAAAGTCGGCTTTGTGGACGACTGACTTAGGGGATTCGCAGGCCAGGCCTTGGGAGTTAGCTTACCGATTGTGAATATAGGGGTTTTCTGCCTTCGATAAGTTCTTCGTGATTTGAATAGACATATGCGATAGCATCCCACAGGAATAAAGCTTATATTTGCCATCAATACTTTTGCATGCTAGGGCTGCCGTAGATAGCGTTGGTTGTATCGAGGATTCTTGCTGCAAGCGCACAAATATCCCTCCTCTGCACGTCTGTGACAAATCAGGCATTCGTCGCTCTTCGAGGCCACGGAAGGTTACTCTAAAATGGTATCGACCATTTTCGCGACAGCTGGAACATGAAGAACCTTACACAGAGGCTCCATGTTTTGTGCGTACGCATTCCAGAGCTTGGACGCCTCCTCATGGCCAGGGTGTTACCCGGTGATGCTATGCGTGCTTCCGAGTATGGCCCCAGATATTGTGTGTACTGCGAGGACACCCACAATGCCCGTCGAGGTATTTGCATAGCTCCAATATCATCCTGGTCGGAATCGGATACTTCACATAGGTCGCCCTCTTCATTATCAAGAACACTGCCGACATAGCGAGACTTGCCATCGGCGGACAGAAGCTTACCCGAGCTGGCGGGTTACAAGTCCGGCATTGGGTTGGGTTTTGTGTGCTGGCCGTTGATGCCTCCATATTCTGGTCGCATAGGGTCATTGCAGAGGATGTATGGAGAAAATTGTTGTCGTGCAAGATGCGCTCAAAAAAAAACGGCTGTTTCTTGCGGTGTTTTCGTTTTTTTCTGACTCTCTTTTTCTTCTTGCTCCTCCCCCCGTGAAGGTGTTTGCCACGCGCCTGAGCTTTCGGGATACCCGAGCCTTCCCAAGGGCATCCCCGGAAGTAAACAGAAAGATCGTGTACACCCACGAAGACGGAACGATATCGCCATATCTTGAGCTCCCGTTCCGAGCTGACCTTCTCCGCAACACCCACCACGAGTTCGGCCACATTGGCTTCCCGGGCCTTAACAGTGTCGTCCGTCCTCGTGGCTAGTGGCCGACGATCCGTGCCGACATGGAGGACACAGTCAAAACCTGTCCGAACTGCATTAACCGCTCGCGTTCGTCTTCAAACTGGTTTCGCTGTCTCTTTCGCGACGGGGGAGCCTGGTAGACGCACTGGAGCTTTGCTTTGTTGCAGCTCTAACATGCTGATGCCGTCTTATCGCATTTGATTTTCTGCAAGCTTGGCATTTAAAGCGCATTGTGGACAAGTCGGGGCCAGTACTATTTTGGCAGCGCCTTAAAATGAACATCCCACAAATTTGGCCGGAACACAAAGTGAACGGAATCCGAGAGTCCCGAAATCCGTGGTCCTTGATTATTCATCTCCTTTTATTTTCTCTTTCCCTTCAGATTCTGAACATTTGCCTATGAGTAGACATCAAACAGGAGAGATCGAAATAAGGAACAAAGATCTCCCGCTAGTCCTCGCCATTTCCGCTCGGGCGACTTTTTCGAAAAGTCTTGGCACGCACGTTCATGACTCCCATCCACAACCGTCCGCCACCAAGGCAATGAAGCAGTCACCTTCCCAGAACGCATTGCCCATGGATTCTGCGCTTTGGAGAGGACAGCACCTGAGGGTTGGTCTTGTTTGTCGTTCCGAGTTCTACTATCCCGGCGGACTCCGGTTAAGGGGGAATCCAGCATTGCTAACGGCGATATAATGTCTATCTAGGCTTGTGAGATGTGCCATCGCAAAAAGACCAAGTGTGAGCTTGAAGGGTCGAATTCGACTTGCGTGCAATGCATGCGCCGTAATACGCAATGTGTCTTCCCCGCCCAGCATGAGAAGCGGGATGATCAGCAAAGGTACGGCGATGTCCATTGCCATGTCCCGATCGGCTTTTTGTCGATCATGGCTAATTCTTTCACAGTACTGATGAATATGTCAAGTCTTTGAAAGACCGCCTTGTCAGGGTTGAGTCGTTGTTGAGGACGGCAGGCATCTTGCAAGAAAGCGATATGAGTCATGACGACCTTTCCGATGAAGATGATGATGGACCAACTAGTCAGAACATATCATCTGCTTCCAGTCCAAAATCAAATTTCGGAGCGTCTCTTCGCTCACAGGGTGGGTTCATTGAAGGTACACCCATCTTTCCGACGGACCAAAGAGATGATTCTCGATATTTCGGTAAGATAGACAGTACCGCCCATGTGATATAAAACCGCCCAGACTAACTCACGGATAGGGACGTCGTGCTCAATGTCAATTCTATCGCGAACAGGGATAGAATGGATCAAGAGCAAAGCAGGCGATGTGAGCTTTTTGCGAATGATATCTCCTGAATCCCGTCATGAAAATCCATGGAATCAATGGCGACCGGACGTGTTCCAGGATTTGTTTGCCTCGAAGGTTTTTAAACCTTTGCCCTCGAGGTCAGAGGTATTCTCTCTTATCAAAGATTTCTTCCGGACGGCCAACCGTCTGTTTCCTATCTATCTTGAGTCGTCATTCATGAAAATGGTCGAATGGCAATATACACAGCAAACCTGTGATGACGCTGCGCGCTGGGCTAACATCAACATGGTAATCTGCCTGGCATATGAATATCGATCCTCGAGTAGCTCCAAGTCAGAAAAAGACAAGGAGAAATCCGAGTTATACTTCAAAAACGCGATGTCGGTCTTCACTGAATTAGCCTTGAAACGCACCGATCTGCTGAGTATACAGGCTTTGCTTAGCATGGTACGTCTCCTCCTTCTTTGGCACCTATGGAAGCATCTAACAATTTTGCAAAGGCGTTCTTCCTTCGGGGGAATGCGGGAACCCAATCAGCTCTGCCGCTCATTACTGCAGCCATGCGGTCCGGTCACCGAATGGGACTTCATCGAGATATTCCAAGACCGGAACTTAGTCCGGCTGAGCAAGAGGAGAGACGGCGCGTTTTTTGGGTTGCATTTGTCATTGACCAAAGGTAAGAGAAGTTCATTCAGACGCCGTCGTCTCAAGTACTAACCCAATGTTCCAGTACATGCCTAAGAATTGGAAATGCCCCATCACAGCATCAAGATGATTTCGATGTCCCCCTTCCGGAAGAACTGGAGGGCGATAAGCATGGTGAAACCGCAAGCAACATTCCATTCTTCCGCGAGCTCTGTCTGATGTCGCTCATCAAGAGCCACATTTACAGTCGATTGTACTCCGTTAAGGCATTAGAAAAATCCCCCGCTGAAATCTACAAGACGGTTAAAGAACTATATGCAGAGCTTGAAGAATGGAAACGCAAATCCCCAACTCTCACTGGGCCGAAAATAAAACATACTGAACGTGACTTCCTGTTTGGCTTTGCCTCTATTGGTCTGCATTTCGTCTATCACAATGCTGTGATCATGATTCACCGGGTACCTATATTTCTTAACTACATGATAACAGCCAGAAAGGAATCAGAGAAGGTCAAGTCAATCAGCAAAGCACATGCTATAAAATCGGCAGCCATTGGTGCACAGGCTGCCCGAGATACCCTGAAGGTTGTCAATAACATGCCATGGGGAGATATCGCATGGACCTGGTAAGTACAACAGTCTTCTGATCAGCTTCATTTCTCACACTCAAGTCTTAGGTCATTATTATACTACGTCTTCCTGGCAGCATCAACATTATTCTCAAATATTCTGCGGGATACTCGCAATTCAAGTGTGCGAGCAGACCTTCAATCCCTCAACATGGTCTCAGCATTCTTTGCAACTCTCACTCCCCCAGGTGAAGGATCAAATAATTACGCCGGTTTCATGGCCCGAATGAGTGCGACCCTTGAACGCATCGCCAGAGTCGCCATCGACAAAGACGAGAAAAGAGCCCGCGCCCCAGACGACGAAGACCAAGAATATAAACCACCAGGAAACAAGAGGCATACATCTCGGACACAGCCAGCACCACACCACCAAAGGCAGCACCGCCGACCAACAACCCTCCGCAAAACAATGACCCCCACCACAGCTCCGCGGTATCCAACACCAAGCACCGCCAACCCCACCACGATGGACAGCAGTATTCCCGACACCTTAGAAGGCCTTCCACCAGTCAATTCCTCCGGCTACGTCGTCCCCATGAGCCCAATGCCAGACCCGGGCGACAACACTCAAATACAATCCCCGTATCTCGCCAACCCACCTAATATATACTCACCCTCAACCACATTCCTTCAAGAAGCAAATGACAACACCTTCGCACCGTCAATCCCATCCTGGCAACTATCCCAAGACTATCCCACAACCGCAGCCCAACCCCCAGGATCATCAGGCATGACTCCCAATCCCACCGACTCCCCAGACTCCTTCAGCAGTACCGCCAACTCAATCCCCGATTTCTTCCAGTACCCTGTGGCCGGCGACTGGACCCACGGCGGAAATATCTTCGCAGGTCTCTACCCAACGGACTACAGTTGTCCGCCCTCTATCCCAACGGGCACTCAACCTGCCGATGCATATCCTTCCATGCCGATTCTATCGGCTGAGTCGTTTATCTATGGCGCGCCTGCTATTGACGGCCAAACGGCTCAAGCTGGTGGGTTCGATCCTCAAAGTCTGGGGTATGGTTATATGCCGCAACAAGGCCTGGAGGATCCGAATCAGGGGGCGGATCCGGTCTGGCCTAATGGGTTCTTGGGGTTGTTCTAGGGGTCGATTGATCGGGGTGTGATATTTTGATTTGTTGTTCTCGTTATCGTTATAAACACAACCTCTCTACTCTCTTGTTTGTATATGCATTAGCAAGGGTTCACGAGTGTTGATGTAGCTACTAGTAGTGTGGTATGATAGAAAACAAATGATCAATCAGTGGATATGAAAAGAAAGACTAGGTATAAAAAAAAACGCCCAGCCAGATCCCGAAGTCAAGATATCCCATTTCCCCGCGCCATTGAACCCAAGAAGGGCATGAAAAAGACTCATTCTGCGCCTTCCTTTCCAAATCCAGAGCTAACCCATCCAATAACCAAATCATAAATGTGAACTAAAACACAGATCCCGTGAGTAGGCGCACTGCTTTGCACCACACGCCGTTTCCGAGCTGAACATCACCGTCCTTTTCCCGACTAAGGCTTTTGCCGAGAATGCTTTGCAACTCCTTGTCTGGAAGACCAGACTTGCTGCCTGGTCCGAAACCATAGACCTTCGTCGCCAGAACGTCAATATCAAAGTCCAAGGAACCGATAGTGTTCTCTGCATTGACTTTATCGATGCGGGTACGGACAGTAAAGTCAACATCGATTCTCTTAGCACCGTTGTTCTTCGAGGCAACGCCTTTACGGCCAGGTGTAGATATGGTAGCGTTACCGAGGAGCGTGCAGCGTGTGCGTAGAGAAAGAGAGCCCTCATCAGGCTTGGATAGGGTGAGGCGGGTAACACCACAGAATTCCAGCATGCGCGCCTCATTTTCCAGCCCAACTGTGCGGTCCCATGCGCTAGAGATGAAGCGCAAAAGCTGCTTAGGTGCGACAGTGGATTGCTGGATAGTAGCAAGGTAGTGCTGCAACGAGTGGAGGACCAAGGATGCAATAGGAGAAATGTTGGCATTCTTCTGGGAAGCCAGTTCCATCGGGTAGTTCTTTCCCTCGTCCTGGCCACTTTTCTTGGAGGCAAAAGCTCCGGGATAGAACTCTAGTTGGAGCTTATCCCGATAAGCCATCTTCAATAGAGGTCCCTTTGATGCATCATCCGAAGGAATTGCGGCCGAAACAATCGACCAGCCAGTTTGTCGCTGAATTCTTTGGACGGAGGCTAGTTTTCCCAGTCAGTATCGCAGCCACAAAAAAAGAGACTCCATAAGGGAAGGAGGGGGAAAGCTCACCCTTCAGTTCGTTGATTTCTCGAGCACTCCAGCCACGGCACTCTTCTTTGACACGCTCTGCCTCCTGGATTTGAGCCAGGAACTCATCCCGCATTTCGGCTCCAGCCTCGATGAAAGTCGTCTTATCCTGGACTTCCTTCTGCAACTGCTCAAGTTCACGTCTCTTGACTGCAATTTCGGAGTCCACCTCGGACAGCTTGCTGCGCGTATTGCGCAACTCATCTTGATCACAGTTTTCCATCTCTTCCACCAACTGTTGCAGGTTGGTTGCCTCTTCCTCCAGGGAGGCGTGCTTCTCCACGAGAAGCGGCACGTTCCTATTAAGCAACTCTTCTCGTTCAGATAGCAGATCGTCATCTGCTTTCATTTCCTCCACGTGGCGAATGAGCCCTTCCTTCAAACCCTCAAGCAACTTCATCCGCCATTCGTACCATGTGGCCTTACTCAGCAGACGGGCATGGGTTTTGACGTTTCGGAACTGATTGTCCATGATCACTCGGATATCTGGAGGAGCGGTGATATACTCTTTGAAGAGAGCTGGATTTTCGGCATATGTTTCTGCCTCAATAGAGCGAATCACTTGCCGACCTTCAGAAATATAGGACTTCAACTCCCGACACGACTAGAGACAGTGTGAGCGAGAACAAGAGTATCAGGGTATAGTATCACTTACATGCTGGTATAATTCAAGCATTGGCACGGTACAAAAGCCAGCTGCCACACAATCATCAAACGTTATCGAGCCTGGTTTAGGCATGTTCTCACCAGAAGGTCGTGTCAGCTTCTTGGTGGCACTCCCGGGGGCAGTTGTGTGTCTTCTCTTTGTCGTAGTTAGTTCCATGAAATGAATATTAGTCATTTTCAGGAAGTCCTGCAGCTGAATAGACTCAATTTCCACGGGGGCTTCTTCGGTAAGAGTGATCTCTTCTTCTTCTGGTTGTTGGGGATCAGAAGCAATATGAAGAGCATCAATCCCATGATTGAGAGGAGTTGTCGACGTCTGGGAAGAACTTCGTGGTTGTTGGGAAGGCGTGGTGCTGCCTTTGGGGGGCGATGAGCTTGCAGCTCTACGGACGGGTGACAGAATTGACCGACGGATATTGGCTTCCCTGAACATCGGCGTTGGCAACTTGACACCTTTGACTGGGCTGACATTATGGCCACGCAGTCGCTTGGGCGAATTCTCCACTTCGTCTTCATCCAAGTCTAGCTCGACCGGGCGCTTGCCCAAAACCCCGCGAGCAGCCCCAACATGGAGACTCTTACGACTGCCAATCCTAGTCTTCTTCGGGCTCAGGTTTGAAATCATGTCCTTCAAGCTTGGGGTTACGTCCCGATCTGACTGCAATCCCCTGATATAGCCATCCTCTCGGAGTTCCTCTTCTTCGCGATCACGTTCTTCCTCGGCCTGCATTTGCAGAGGATCCTCGAAGCGTACACCGGATCGGGACTGTTCTTGCGGAACGAACTGGGGCGTACTATCCCCAAGCGACGGGCGCTTGTCCAGTAAGGCCGCCACACGAGGAGATCCGAGACCTTCTTTGTCAATCCCTAGACCGGAAGAGCGACGACTCTCGCGTGGTTGCAATTTGAAGAGCGGGGTCGACTCTCCTGTTGCTATGTTATGCTCAAACAGGCTTTGGCGAAGAGACTTGCGCTTATCTGCTGATTGCTGGAGTTCGGGTTGGAAGAGCTTCTTTGGCGAAGCACTTCTAAATGTGACATTGCTGGAGGGGGGTGTCTTGCTTGGGGTGGTAGGTTTAGCTTGTGGGGTAGACTGTTTGGGCGGAGTCAATGGCTTCGTATTTGGTGATCTTTGCCGGCTGGACGATCCTGGCGTGGAGCTACGCCGAGGAGGCCTAGCCCGCATAGTTGCCAAACTGGGGCTCCCATTTTCAGATGCAACAGCAGCAATTTGATAAGCCAGGGGTGATTTGGCAGGGGACTTGGCAGGAGACTGTCGAACATTGTCTTGAAAAGGCGAACTAGCAAGCTGACCCGAATCGGTTTCAAGCGCCATTATCATCTTCGCGTGCACTTTGTCATTGGCTTCGATCCCTGACTGTAGGATGCCACCAATTGCACCAGTCATCTCCATGTCCATACCATCGTCAGACTCATTCTCTTGATCGAAGTTCATGTGATCAGAGTTGGAGGCATAAGTAGGCTGGTTGCCCAAGATTTTGCCGACGGCCGATGTGAATTCCATTGTCATTCCTTCATCTTCGTTGCCAATCTCAGAAAACTTGAATGGCGAACCCACCTGCGCGATGCCACCGACGACATTGGTCATCTCCATAGTTTGATCTCCGTAGTTGGATTCTTCTGCTACGGACTGGCGACGAGCCGTGCTCTGGCGACGGCCGGGGGACTTGCCAAGAATGCGTCCTACGGCATTCGTCACGTCCATGCTAAGGTCTTCGTCCTCGTCGATATCATCTGATTCTGGTGAACCTTGAGTAGTGGCCGCCTTGGATGGATCGAGGTTCTCCTCATGTCGTGCGCTAATATCTCCCCAGTCAAAGCTTTGCCTTTGGCCCTTTTTGATCCACGGCTGGAAAGCACCGGTTATTTCTTGATCCACAATTTCCATTGACATCTCTCCGCCTTCATCAAGTTCTGTTCCTGCTTCCTGTGCGGCCTGACGCAGTGCTTCGTTGAGTCTGGCACTAGAGCTTGAGCTAGAAGTTGCATCTGATTGGACACTCATGCCTGAGCGCGCGGTCATATCATCCATGCTCATTGCAGTGCTCTCGGCATCAAATCCATCGTCGGAGTCTGAAGAATCGCCATCGTCATCTTCTCCGGCCAAGCTTTGAGCGCCGGTGTCTTCGCTTCCTACTGAGCTTCCGCTGAACGGACTAGAAGACAAATCCTGGACGTCATCGTCCCCAGATGATGGGCGACCTCTTATCTGGTTTAGATCTTGTGTGCGGACAGGGGAGAATTCGAATTCCGATTCTGCTGGCGAAGATGGAGCGTCTTTGGTGGGCGAGGTAGGGGCAGGTTGGTTCTGAGGGCTTACGGCAGCAGATGCGCGTCTTGTTGAGTTCGCGGCAGAGGAGGAGGTTGAGTCGTCCGGAATTTCCACCACGTTCCAGGTGTGTAAGGTTGCCTCGGGGGCAAAGGATACTCGGCGATTCGCTGTATAAATATGTGTCAATATTCACTTCCATGACAAAGTGGAACACACTGACCCATTGATTTCCTCCGCGCGGCTCGTTTCTCTAGGATATTCTGCCGTTCTCGATCTTTGCGTTCCCGTTCGTCACGCTCCTTAGTAGCAGCCATCTCCTCGCGAATGGCAGAAGTCGCATTAAATGTATCAAACGGGTTTGCCGTGTCATCATTGTCATTATCTGTCGTGGGAGGTCCTGGTGTTGTTTCGAAGTCAATCAAAAGACCCTCTTTCTTTTGGTCTGTTTGGCCCTGTCCGTCCATCGTGCCGTCATGTGTCTGCTGTTTACTACGAGCTGGTGTACGTCGGCGCGTTTCCTCGAATGACGGAATGGTTCGCACTGGAGACACAGGGACTGTGGGTTTGAGAATAGACTTTAGTGGAAAAGAAGCTGTAGACTATAGATATTTAAGTCAGAATTGTTCTGCATATGCGCCCGTGGTCTTCCGTTTGATAGCTACCTGGCGACGATTGCCGTTGGAATTCTGGAGGGCATCTAGTCCACCGGGCCCCAAACTCTTGCTCCGAGACTTCTTGTCTTTCATAGCAGGCTTTGTGTTATTCAAGAATGGTTGAGCTGCGCCAATCTGAGTTGTCGCATTCTCCTTGTCCAAACTAGACGTCATCCTAGACCGCGGGACATGAGCGATAGACCGACGAGATCGCGGCGGTCGCAAAGCCGCGGAGTCGGGTCGAGTTGACATTGTCGGCGAGCGAATCGGCACATTCACAGATCAATTCAAGATTGCATACTCGGTAAATCTGAACGTCAGGATCTTTAGATCAAACAGGACTGCCCAGGTGAGCCTGTAATCTACTCCTATCGCACCTGCCCAAAGCGCGTTGCCTCCGCACTCACGTGATGTAAACAAAAGCGCAGAGCCCTAACCCCAATTAGCCTAGTCCCGATTAGGACTAGTGTCGCACACTACGAATTACCAAAGATTCCAACGGACAACGAATCTTCCTCATCTTCGACAGCCGCCAACCCGACATTTCTTCGACACCGCTTCCTCGTCGAACAACACCGCAAAAATGGCCACCGAGTTGACCGTCCAGTCGGAGCGCGCTTTCCAAAAGCAGCCTCACATCTTCCTTAACACCAAGGCTAAGGCTTCGTCCAAGAAGACTGCCCAGGGCCGCCGCTGGTACAAGGATGTCGGTCTCGGTTTCCGTACCCCCAAGACCGCCATTGAGGGAAGCTACATCGGTATGCACGACCTCCGTTGAATTTTTATTCGAAATATTGTGGCGGGATATATATGGGTGGGTGGTCTTTTCATGGATACAAAGGACGAATGGAGGATCGCATGGAGCAATTGAGGGGCCTGGAATCTCCGTCGTTTCCTCTCTCGCCAATATTCGCATTCATCACTCAAACTCTCGAATCACGAAAAGACCACTCATGCCAAAAAAATCCCCGCAATCACCAAATTCTTTCCGTGTCAGATTACTCATTTTTGAACCTTTACAGACAAGAAGTGCCCCTTCACTTCCCAGGTGTCCATCCGCGGCCGTGTCCTCGTCGGCAAAGTCGGTAAGTTGAATCAGAACTGTCTTTTTTTACCAGGCAGGGGGACTTGCTAACTAATTATCTACAGTCTCCACCAAGATGCACCGTACCCTCGTCATCCGCCGCGAATACCTGCACTACGTCCCCAAGTACAACCGTTACGAGCGTCGCCACAAGAACCTGTCTGCCCACGTCTCCCCCGCTTTCCGTGTTGAGGAGGGTGACCTTGTTACCGTTGGCCAGTGCCGTCCTCTCAGCAAGACTGTACGTTCATCTAGTGATCCTTGTCAATTTCCGTCATTGTTGGCAAAACCACACACTATTGCATTACTGCAGGACATCGAACCTGACAGCTCACTTTGTTTGCTACGGACATGATGACTGACTAAAAATTTCTCTCCAGGTTCGCTTCAACGTGTTGAAGGTTCACGCCAAGACCTCGCGCGCTGTCAAGTCTTTCTCCAAGTTCTAGGTTAATAAACCGGGTGTTTTGAAGGCGAAGGAAGCGGTATGGACTGGATATACAGGAAGTTCTTGGATGGGGGTCGGGATAGTTTATGAGTTTCCATGTCCCAGATACCTCGCACATGAACGTGTATCCACGCAAAAATCAAAATGATTTGTTCGGCCCTCCTGCGATGGAAACTGTACACCAACTCCGGCACAGGGCAAGATTGACCATAAATGGCAATCTAGACAAAGCCTCTCAATGCGCATCTCGAGTCATCTCCTTGCTCTTCCAAGTCTACATTGATCCAGTAGGACCTTAGTATGTGTTCTCTAGTAATGGCAAATCACATACCTATCTAGGGCATGGGTTGTCGTTTGGCTGTCTGTATGCGTAGTTTTGATATTATTTCGGGCATATATGGTTATCTTACTAGTCAGTTGCATAATACCTACTTGCCTAGATATCGAAGGAGGTAGGATCGTGAATATGCCAATTATTTACTTTGTTCGCAATGCACACATTAGAGACAGCATTGCCAGGAGGTTTATTCAACTAATATCACAAAGGCAAATTGACACATTGACTAGTTTTTCTCATCTTCAGTTAGCTGCGCCAAACAAAGATTCTTCAATGTTCTCTTCCACGCCAAGCATGTATTCTTCGTGACCTTCACATATCATCAGTTTGTACGCTAAGTCCAAAGCCGGAACTTTTCAAAAAAGTCCATGTCCATCTGTCCATTGAGTACAGGACGGTGGGTGGCTTTATTGTCCGAGTGCAGTGAGATCTTCCCTCGGATTTTGGTGGGCGTGTCAGGATACATGTATCTATCGTCATCTGACGGCCAGTCCCGCTGCAATGCGCGCTGGGAACTAGTATCTTCATTATCAGAGGTTAAGTCAATTGCCTCTTGACTATGTATATGCGCCAAGAAGTCTTCGGAACCATTGTTCTCGGGGAAGATTCCACTAGACAGCGTCTCATGTGTTGAAAAGTTCCCATCATCCGCGGTCTCTGTCTTGTCGCACATTGACATAGTTTGAGAATTGGACACACCTTCCGACTCAGAGGTCCCTTCCGACCTTTCGTCGGTCTCGGGTGGTTCGTAGTCTAAGTCGGGAACACAGTCGGGTGAGAAGTGCATCTTTTGGGGGGTCTGCCAAGGCGTCTTTCGAGGTGTGGGCCATGGAGCCTCACTCTCAGAGTCCGTCAATTCCTCGGGCAGGTAAGGAGGTGCACTTTCCACTCCGCTGTAAAATATTTTTGTCTCTCTCGCATTCCTCCAACCCCATGCCCTGGCAAACTCAGATGCTAAGTTTGCCCAGTGGATCCTTGGCACTTGGAGAAGGGTCAAAAACTTTCCGAGCGTTCTACCAGATTGGAAGGGGGACTTTCTCCTCAACGCCAGCATGTCACGCAGAGTATCACTGCAGCGTAGAGAGCTGCGGATAAGGGGGATCTGAACCAAGCGGTTCAAATCACGGTGTGACTGTGTGATGCCCTCAAGACTGACGATATCCACGCTGAAAGCGATTGCCTCAGCTGGGACGCGACCCCAGATGAGGTACTCCCCGTAGCCCTGCCAGCCATTGTACACAAGCGTCCCGGTCCGAATAGCCAGCGGATGGGCATAGAAGACTTTGGTCTCCAACTTGGACGTGTCAATAACGGTCACTATGGCGCCATTCTGGCCAGCAATGGCACGGTGAAGGGGTGCCAATGGTGATCGGAAGGTAGAGATGAAGGGGGTTCTGACTTTCTGTTTACTTACATGGCTCCGAAAGAAGCCCTCGAAACGGTCCCCGGAGCAGTCTTCGGAGTCAAACCAATCACCGTTGCAGAAAAGCCCGGCTACAAACACGGTCTTCGAGTTGATTCCTTGGGAGTCACGATTTGACCACCGAAACAGCAACGGTGGCATTTTATCGGCCGGAACTCCTTGCATAGCCAGCTCATGGTCAATGTGATGGCCTTGTCTGCCATGATGCTGCTGTCCGCAACCTTGCTGATCTTGATGTTGATATTGAGGCTCTTGGCCTTTTTGATGGTCCTGCTGGTCCTGGTCTTGGTGCTCTTGGTGTCTATGCTGGGACTGTTGGTTTTGATTGGAGATTATGGCTTGGTTGGGACGAGTGGGCTGGCTCTGGTCATCACGACCATCTGTTCCGTCGATAATCAATTCATGGTTACACCAGAGGCAGATCTTTCCATGGCTGGTAACAACCGACTCGTTGTTTTCAAGCTGGTCGGTTCGTTTCCGACTGCGGCTGAGACTCATCATGGTGATTTCATCTGCTCTTCGCTGGGACGGTGGAAATGGCATAGGGTGGGGTGTCTGCGGGGTTAGGGGTGGTTGAAGGATGAGAGTCAGAAGGGTAGGGGAAGAAAAGTAAGAGAAGGGTATAACAAACGATAAATTACTCTTGGGGCTCAGACTTGAATAACCAGCTCGTCCCTCGAACATTCTGGGAATGGACATATCTTCGGTCTCATATATGTGACTAAATCTTCTTCAAAGATGCTAGCAAATAGAGAACCTATCTTTAGCCCAAAAGTAGATCTGGTCCTTTTAACATATTGGGATAAGGTAGAAGTTGAAGATCTCACTATTCTAGATACATTTTTGCCCATCTCGGACGTTTGAGGCAACTACGTACAAGATAACTGCTTCTCTGGCCAGATAATTGATCAACCTGAGAATCAAGGTCGTGCAGACCTTTGTTCTTATTTTGTGACTAGCTTGGTTCTAGCATGATCCATAAGTGGAGTATTGCATAGTTCTATAGTTCAAGTATGAAGCCCTAGATCTACGTCAAATACCAGTAGTCTTTTACTTGCCTAGTGAGCTGTATTCTGAAAGGGATGTTTTATATCTACTCTTTCCTCTCTTCATTCAATTCAATCTTAAAAAACCAACAAAAAGGTTGCTTCGTGGTGTTTTCCCCAATTGTGCAAAACAGGTTCCCTCTGTATTATGATAACTCCTTGGCTGGCTTACGGTCACTAGCTATCTAGTATATTTTATCGTCTAATACAATATATGCCACAGTCTACATCGAAATGTTTTCAAATAGACCCGAGGATACCGTGCTGATATATAATCTCTAGATATAGGAACGAAATCGCAATATTCAAATATTACCATCAACAGATATATCCAAGATATGGCCATCTAATTATAGTTTATATAGCCTATAATCTTTCATATATAATCTAAATACCAGTTCGTTATGATATAGTACTCGTATACTCCAGGGCTAATCTGCACACGAGGGACTGCCAACATGCGCTAGTCCCAATTTAGGTTGCCTTGAGGAACATGCACTCCGCCCCCAGGAACTCCCTTTGCCCTCACCCTTGGGATTATCTTATTTGCTATCCTTATCCCTCAATTTGCTTCTCAGCCCATATTCACTCAGTGATCTCAAATTCTCGCCAATCCTTAACCCGGCCGTTCCGACCGGACTTCGAACCCTATCCCCTAGAAAATTGCCCACTTTCCCCAGGCTCACAGCATGGCTCAATGAGCCACGTCATGAACGATACGGATGATTGAGGACTCACCCGGACACTATAAGGGCATTGATTCTCGGAGCAGGCTCTCCAGTCTTTCCCACTGTCTTCTAACAGACTTCTATTCTCCTGAGCCAAGGTGGGCGCCGATTCGCGACTTATAAGAACAACATGCCGGGGGGATTTGAGAAGTCAGTAAAGGGGGCTACGAAGCTCAAGGTCAGTCCGAATGCTCAGCTCATTCTTTTTTCTACATGCGACAATTATTAAATATCTGACGTGAACAGCTTGCGGCCCCTAAATCCAAATACATAGAGAATATTCTTGTGGCAACTCATACCGGCGAGGCAGGAGTCGCAGAGGTATTTCGAACCCTCCAAATACGACTTCGAGACTCGGCATGGACCATTGTTTTCAAGGCGCTCATCGTCCTCCATCTTATGATCCGAGAGGGTCAACTTGATGCTGCGCTGGGATACCTGTCCGATAACCCGAAGAAGATCACGCCCAGCAATTTCTCTGAAGGTTAGACCAGTAGTTCCCTCATATTGATGTGATTGCAGTCTACTGACCGTTCTTATAGCCCAATCACAAGGGCATAATATCCGACGATATGCCGAATACCTTATCACGCGTGCCAAGGCGTTCGAAGCCTGCAAGACGGACCATGTACGAAGCGGACCGGGACGGCTGAAGAGGATAGGTGTGGAGAAAGGCCTTTTGAGGGAGACGGAAATCGTACAGAAGCAAATTCGTGCGTTACTGCGGTGTGATGTGGGTGAATTCCGAATTCAGGCCTTTTATTGGTGACTGACAGTGTACAGTTGTTGACGGATGAGCCCGAGAACGAGATCAGTCTGACCGCGTTCCGTCTCCTCACACTTGATCTATTGACTCTATATTCAGTCATGAATGAGGGTACGATTAATGTTTTAGGTAAGTCAGCAGCTCCTCCATTGATCGGCATTGGTTTAACCCCGAAATAGAACACTACTTTGAGATGTCGCGGCCGGATAGTGTACGCGCCTTGGCAATCTACAAGACGTTCACAAAACAAACGGAAGAAGTGGTCCAGTTTTTGGGAGTCGCAAGACATTTCGAGTCTGCTACTCGCTTGGAAATCCCGAAGCTCAAACATGCCTCCACAGATTTGGCGCGCCTTCTCGAAGATGACCTCAACGATCCTGATTTCGATCTTCGCCGGCGGGAGTATCTGGCCAAGAAAGGCGTTCGCGTTCCACCGAGCATGGAAGCCAGTGCGACCGCAGATGTATCAAAGCCAGCGCCGAACCCAGTGTCAAACCCGCCGGTGTCAAACTCACCCAAGCAGGCCGAACAACCGAAGCCGCCAGCTGTGGATCTGATCGACTTTTTTGATTCAATTGACCCGCAGCCAATGGGGCAACAAAACTCAATGCAATACCAGCAAACAGGGTTTCAACAGCAACCGCAGCAACCTTTCTATCCCCAGCAGACTGGCTTCCAGCAGCAGCCTCAGGCGATTCAGCAGCAGCCCTTGGCAACTGGATATGGCCAGCCGACCCAATATGGAGTGCCTTATCAAGCACAGGGCCCAAATAATCCATTTGGGCAGCCGCAGCAACTACAACAACAACAGCCACCGCCGCCACCGCCGCTTCAAGCTATGCCAACTGGCGCTGGATTTGGAGGGTACTCTCCCCAGCCGCATTCATATGGCTTCCAGTCGCAATTAGCTCCTATTCCGCAGGAAGGCATTGCCGCCTTCCCACAACAGCAACAGCAGCAGCAAGCACTTCAGCCCTTGCAACCCCAGCACACCAACCCGTTCCGCCAGTCAATGATGCTCAACTCTCATACAGGCGCTCAGCCACCCGCCGCTCCTCTATCGCGACAGAACACGAACCCCTTCGCGAGACGACTATCCACAGCAAACACGCAATATAATCCCTCAAACGAGCAATTTCAGCCTGTACAACCCCCGCAAGTACCGCTTCAGCCACCACAAGCGCAGCCGATCCAGCCTCAGCGGACGGGAACCAATCCTTTTGCGCGGGCCTCTCCTGCTCCGCAGCAAGGTCTGCAACCTCCAGCAGCAGCTCCCTTGCGGCCTAACCCAACTGGCAGCACCAACCCTTTCCGACAGAGCCAGTTTATCAATCAGCAGACCGGACAAGGTTGGCAAAACAGTGGGCAGAGTGGTACAATGGGTGGGTTGGAACAGCTGGACACGATGCCGATCTTCCCGCGCCCCGGTATGACCTAATTTAGGGGCGCAACACGATCTGCACGGCGTCGGAATGAAACCGACGTCCGTTGTATGATTATCTTCACTTGACTATCTCATTCGTTCTATCTCACTTGCTCCCCACATCGCCTCCACATCGAGTAGACCACGGATATTTCCGTTGTACAGCTAGCTCTTCGATACTATTACACGTAACTACATGCCTTGGGGAGCTCCCTCGGATCCAATATTAATGCAATCTGTACTCCAATAAAGCAATTGAACTTCAGTCGCACGGTCTCGGGCTCTACGATGCTCGCTTTAACAAATGTAAGGCTAGTGCTGACAGGGGCAGAAAATCTTGACTTGACGTCTAGGCCGTTGGATGTTTTTCAGGGGCCAAAATGCAGATCTATACACTTTGTCGGGTTGTCTCCGTGTATTTTAACGTGTTTCATGAATTTGTGCTGATCATAGTAGATCACGATGTCGAGGTTCCCCCTGTACCTACATACACATGTGTTATTACTCTTTTTCAACGCCACATGACCTTAAAAAACAACAAGCTCGGTGAATATAACCCCATATTCTCAAGGTCAAGTGGATATTGGAACATGCGACTGTTGTAGACTTGTAGTCCTCGAAAGGGGCGGAAAAGAACAAACAAACGAATCGTAAATCCCCCCTAAATCCTTTAAATCCTCTAAACTCCCTAAATCATCTAAATCAAACCTGTCAATTTCCACTAGAACTCTTAGCGGGGCCGGTGATTCGTTCTGCAATGTGAAGAATCCAAAATTCCTGTGATTTCTACCCCGCCGGTCCGGAAAGGAAGTTTGTCCTCCTCTTAACCTCCAGGTCTCCCTCCTCTTACATAGGTAATGCCTCGAACGTCTAAATAAGCTCGATGAATGCCAAGGACCTTTTACCGGGTTACGAGCAGACCTTGCCCGTGCTGTCTCGGCCATCGGCTGCGGCTTGGGCGGCCGATCCGATCCACTCCCCCTATGCAGCTCCCATCCACTTCGATCCCAATATACACCCTATACAAACTATGGCCTCAACACCAGCTCCTGCACCAGCTCCTCACCCACCCAAGGCGCCTAGTCGGAAAACAACCACCAGAGTACGCAAACCCCGCAAAACCGCCAATGCATCTACGGGGAAATCGACTTTGTTTTGGGTCAACAGTGATCAACAAACGGCAGCGGCAGGCACAACGGATGAGACCCTGAAGCGGATTCGGTCCCATGTCATGTCCGAGCATAATCGCAAGAAGCGAATGGGGAACGGGGAGCAGTCCAATAAAAGCAAATGGAAGAACTCGCCTTGTCAGCCACCGACAAGGAACACCGGGGCACTGGTACCCGTTGAGCCTGTCCGTCCGTGTATCGGTTCGTCTGCCAACTTGTCTAGCAGTCAAATCTCAGATGAACAAGAGCCAGAACAGGTCGAGGAGCTTGTTACGTCGACAGCCGTGGGATACCCTGCTATGCAAGCCGCATCATGGAATGACTCTGGCTTTGGTGGGGCGATGGCCTATCCCTCTGCATGGTCTTACGTGGGACAAGGAGCCAATGATCCTTTTCATACTGGACATACGCATCTTACAGATAGAATGATGCGACATCTGCGAGTCTGTGAGTGTTTACACCCCGATCCTGATATGGTCGAGCTCGTATACTGACACGGGTATAGTCCTCTGGGATCTGACACAAGAAGCGCATCCATTGCAAACGCGGTATAAACCCAAGTTACAGGCTCATTGGGCGTCCTTGATCCAGCGCGACCCGGCCATTCTGCATGCGACAATTTGTATGGCTACTTCCAATGATGCTATGCGTGCAGGCGAGCTACCCATCCGAGACCCGAATCAAAAGCGGAGTCAGTTGGTGATCGACACGTTCCACCACCGTGGCGAGACTATTCGACTGGTCAACGAGGGCCTGTCAGACCCGGTCAAGGCTTCCAGTGATGTTCTGATTGCTGCAGTTTCTACCTTGTTGACAATTGAAGTGAGTATATTCTGCGCACCAATCTTGCGATTACTAGAGCTTATACATGATTGTAGATCGCGTCGGGGAATCCCGATTATCTCAAGATCCATCTTGCAGGTTTGCGACAGATGATCGCACTGCGGAAGAACTTTGACGATGTCCCTTCAGACGTGCGGTTCCAGATCTCATGGTTGGTATCCTCCTTCGTGATTAGATGCAAGGCTTGCTAATCTCGCAATTAGGACTGATATCCGAGTTGCTTGCATGGCCCACGCCAAGCCTATATTCCCCTTTGTCCGCTACACTCGCCCAGCGCGATTCTCTCTCATCCCACCCAACGACGACGTAGCATTACTTTCCACCCGCCTTTTCCCTCTACTCAAAATACCCGGCATCTTCGGCGAACCCATGGCACAGATCGTATATGATCTCCTCGAACTATCCTGGTATGCAGAATGGATCAAAGGCAACACCGGGTACAAAGAGTTCAACGAGGAGACCGAGGACTATTTCAACACAGAAGTGCTGCACGTAGAATACCAACTGCACACAGATCGATACACCATGACAGGCCAGGTAAAGGGCGACAACTCCATCGAGGGCTGCACCCGTCTCGCTTTACTGCTATTCCACAACAGCGCCATCTGGAACTTCTATCCAATGATCGGCCAGTTACTGCCCAAGCCAATCCAGGCTCTGCGCATTGCCCTCGAGGCGACCATCCCATCAGGCTTATTCGCGCTCTGTCGCGACCTGCTCCTCTGGCAGCTTTTCATGGGCGCGGCTTGCAGTCTAACCCTGCCGTCAGAGCGGGCCTTCTTTGTATCTGAACTGGCCAATGCTGCACGGCTGCAGGGAATCCACTCTTGGCAGGAGGCCCGTTCTATCTTGCTGGGCTTTTTCTATGTCGATCGCATTCACCTGCCTATGCTTCGTCAAATCTGGGATGAGTGTCAACTGCTGGTAGAACCGCCAGTATGAACCTGGCTACATGGCTCTGCCGTAATAGATCGAACTCATCCAAGTCGGTTATATACAGCCGCTTTTATCCAGTATATTCTCAGGCTCGGACTTGCCGTCTCGCTATCTACGCATGAGTGAAGATATAATGTATATATTCTATTTCCAATGATTCACGACTACTCCTCTCCAAACAGCTACAGCCCATCTATCTACCACTCCGTACCTAATTGACCACTTCTTCAAACCTGGAACTAAATGCACATACTATGCCAGGTTTGCTTCTACCCAATCGCTCCAGCTCATATATCCTCCCAACCTCAAAACAGCCAAGCCACCAAACCAAGCCAAGCACACAATTCCGATCAAACCCGACATACTACATCCATTCCCGGCGTCGAAACCGCCCATCAGTCCACAAAGCCAACCTCGGCATCCCGAAATCCGAAAAATCTCCGGCACTCCCTAGGCTCAACGAAGCTGATACGCTGTAGAAACCGCCCGCCGAACGTGCACCGAACTTCAGCCGGGCAAAGGTCGGCTTAGACTCGGCGATGCGCGATTTTCGATACAATATAGAAAGCAGCTCTGCTTCCTAGATTGCTTGGCCCTTTGTGGCTTTGGTTGCGTGATTTTTTTTCCCGATATCATTTCATTTCCCGCTTTATTGTGTACCTTTTTTTTTTTCGCGATTCCAACCGATTCCAACCAGATGTACGTATACTTCCTGCGAAAAGGAGGTATTTAGGAGAATGTTATGCGACATATCTATACATGATCTTATGTAGTTATGTCAACCGGTGTGAATTAGAATCCTACATTCTTGCCTTATGCTTATTGTCAGCTTCAAGGTGGCAAGTCGTGCAGACCGAGAAATTTCCGAATGATATCAGACATCTCCACTCTCGGGTGGCTTGATCCCTGGGCATGAGAGGGAGGTAAATAGGCCCTAAAAGACTCATTTCGGCGGTATCTATATACTCCCGTGCCCCCCTGGCACTTTTTTCCTCCTGTTTCATTCTCTCGTCTGTTGAAACAAAACTTTTTTTTTGCCCATACTATAGGATATTGGGGTTTCGTCTTCAGTCTTCGTTCATCTTCACTGGACATCACTACATGAATCTTATACTAGGCTATGGATGGCTTGTCAGCCTCTTGGCCTTACTAGGTCGGGGTGCTTGACTAGCCAGGCATGCTTGGATGATTGGTGGCAGATGTTGTCTTGCGCCCAATGTTGCTATCTGATGAAGGTATACAATGTCTTAAGCCCAACAACAGCATGTCTGTGATACAACCCGGACAACAGCAAGCACTGGTGATAATTCGACTTCACCTAGTAGCCTAAGGACAACAATCTACAAGATGAAGGAAGGTATAGTGAACAATGTCGATGATTTAATTATTGAGTCACAAGAAACTCGCAGGTAAAAGAGACTAAATACAGCAAGGAAAAAAAGCAGAAAGCACAAGAAATCACCTCGGTGCTCCTCGAAAAATTACAATCAGCATCAATCGACTCGGACAAAAGATTTTTTTGCAACTGCACTAGTGCAGAATCATCGATCATCCATGCACACAACAGTCACAGGCGAACAGACAGGCCTCCAAACCGGAACACAATCGACAGTTCGATGAGAACGCGGCGGACGGAATCTCAGTCTATCGCCTACACATACAACGCTGGGTATCAAAAACATTACAAATCACCAAAGCGGACACTTCGCATCCCGGCTGTTTTTCCAATGAGAAAAAAGGAAAAAAAAAATCGCTTATGCGAGCTCACGGTCAGTCTTTCCACGGCGAACACGGCCAGTGGGGGACCAGGGGAAGTGAGCGACGGGAATGATGAAGAAGCTGTTGCTGTTATCAGCAAGACCAGCCAGGGCATTGTACCAAGCCGAGAAAGCAGCCAGGAAACCGAAGAATCCACCGGCCATCTGGACGTTGGTGTTGGGGCTGCCGTCGGGACTGCGCTGCAGGTAGGCGATGCCGAGCAGGAGGAAGGTCAGGTCCAGGGTGAAGAACAGCATGAAGAAGGCGACGGTGGACTTGAGGGTGCAGAACAACATGATGGTGGTGAAGATGAACCAGCCCTGTTACATTGTCAGCGGGATGATTTCTTGCACATGTCTTGTGAAGAAGAACACTTACCAGCAGGAAGAGACCCATGGAGTCATAGAACTTGGAAGGGTCACTGCTTGACTCGCCGAGAGCCTCACCAATCTCGAACCCACCAGGGGTCAAGACGATAGCGAACGCGATCCAGAAACCACCGTAGGAGGACAGAGCGGTGGCACCAAAGGTGTTTCCGACAGCCATTTCCCTAGTAAAGAAGCGCGTATTAGTCGCAGATCATGTCAGGGGAACCTTAAGGCCGAGGCCATGGAAGCTACATACCACATGCCAGAAAGCAGTTGAACAAGACCACCGTAAGCAAAAGCAAGACCGACCACAATGTTGGGGCTGGAGATATCCAGGGTGCCCATGTTGATGGCGCTCAGGACGAAAGTAGTAAGGGCGAAAGCGCACAGGCCGAGAGGAGCCGGATTGGCGAATTTGCGGCCTTCGACGGGCTTGTACAGACCGGGCTGGAACTCACCACCGAAGGGAGGCAGGGATCGTTCGTTGTTGTTGACTTGGGCCAGGGGTCCGTAGCCGAAGCGCGCGGCCGCTTGTGCTACCTGGTGCTCTTCGACGGACATCTGAGGCTGCATGGGGGCGCCGTTCTGGCCAGAGCTGATCTGGGGAGAGGGAGGAGAGGGACCCGCATCCTTCTCCAATGCGGCATGGTCCATTGTTTGAGTGGCAGACATAATGAATCTGATTCGTTAAAAAGAGGAAGGTAAAAAAGGTAGACCGTTATGTGAAGCCGTATCACACGTTATAGGTATAGGGGTATATGGGATTGAAGCACAGCACTGCTGGGCTAGAGATATAGAACAATGAAGCTGGGGAAGAGAAAGGAAACCGGGGAAGGAAGCTGGGGAAGGGGAAGAGAACTATTATACTCTCTTCAATTGGAGTGAATGCAAAAAAAGCAGATTTGAAAAAAACTGGGAAGCGATGGTGGAACCAAACTTACCAGGTATTTTGGTATTTCGGTAATATTACAATGATTTGCAGACCCGTTTTCAAGGCTCCACTTATGGACCGGTTCCACGGTTGATAAGAGTCTGGTCGTGCGAAAGTGGAGAAAAGAGGGAAAAAGATGAGATGGGAGGGGAATGTCTCATATAATTATACAGAATATAACTATCCAACTCCTATTGTTTTGAATCGTTTCACAGGGGTTAAAAACGAACTATCTCAAATCAGCCATGCAGGGACGGCACGGAGGAATGGGGGGAGGACCGTTCACAGGTTAGGTAATTGGCAGGTAAGGATCCATGGATGAAAGGAAGAACTAGCCTGGGGAAGAAAGTGGGGAGATGGGATATCCGGGGAACGAAGTTATCATTGGAGGGAGAATAAACGAGGGTTTGCTGACTTGCCTGACTCCAATGCTTGGCTTACCTGATGCATAATTCCATAAGTGTTGTACAAACCCCGTGGACGTGAGCATCCGGAGTGCGTTCCAGTAGTTCTTATGTTGCAGGTCCCATGGTAGCACTTGTATAGACGGAAATTTACTGGACTCTGGAGATATTAATCTTTCTATCATGTAGAGTCCAGTCCACTCTATTCCGGATGGAGAGTATTGAGCTACTCCGTACATCGTGCATATGTACAGTACTTTAGTGCAAATGGAAAAGTAAGCAACAGGTAGCAGATACTTGCTGATAGTGGCTGAGCCGGTGGTAAATCCCGGTATCGAGTACACCGAGCCGAGACTGCGTCATGACCTCGGTATAATTGTGGAATGTATTTTGCCTCATACCAATTGTTGCCCATGTGACGGATTATATGATTCAATCATTATTCTGCATTCGCCGTGGATGTACGGAGTACGAAGTACCTAGACCCTTAGGGATTACGCACTAATGAATTCATAGTGAGATATACTCTGTATCTTTTTTAATATTATTCTCCTCTCTTCTATATCCATTGTTCTCCACTTAGCGCGGGTCCCTCTTGCCCCTTTTTTGAGACCGAAGCATGATACACATATCATACCCACTAGCCACGGATGATGTACCAGACATCGCATGCTGTCATTCACATTCAGTTTAAGAATTGTACTTCTCAAGTCTCAGGGTAATAGACAATATGCCATATCCAGGTTGACCTATTAAATAAAGATATAGCCGAACCGGTTTGCCCTCTTCCCGTGTTCCCTTGTCCGGGGGGAACCTAGATCGGCGTACTACCTAGTACGCTCGAACCTCTTCTTTATTTTTTTTTCTCTCGTAAGCTTGTCATGTGCCAGAAAGTACCCCGTAGAAAGTGCAAGCGAGTTAAGCTTCAGCTCCACACTGTGGCTCTGCGATAGGATTTACGGCTAATTATGGTGGACGTATCAGCCGTGCTCCATACGGAGAGGTTCTGTGCTCCGTACGCCGTACCAACTTGAGATTCGGCCCGGGTCAGAGATTTCCGCTGGGTTCAGGACTAATGTGCTCCGTACAAATGGAGTATACAATAATAGCCATCTTTTTCTTATTGCTTCCATGTCGATATCGTGCCAAGGACCCGGATTCTCTTTTTCAGCTTCACTGATACATACCGGGGCAACAGCTTGGAGTTGTGGCGTACGCCAAGTCACAATAATAAACAACACATACACGCCACAGATTACCTGCAGGGTGCTATGTACTCCATAAGTCAATGCGACGTTAATCCTCTTGGCCAAGTGGCCCTTTAACTTCCCCCCTTAAAGAGTTTATAGCTTATCTTCATGTTGGATCGTGCCTTTTTGTTTATGAGACATGAGTGGAAACTGTGGAATCATTGCTAATTCTTTCTGTTTCCTGGTAATTTGATCCATTTTTCTGATCCAGACCTGATCCGAGCGCAAACTCTGCTACCAAAGGTGGCACCATACACCTGGGCATCTTATATTCTTCCTGACCAATAATAGCCACCTCGTTTAACCTTTCCCCATGTCATCATGCACAGATCAATAATTGGCCATATGGGGATGCTCCGTACCAATTTCAGCCCAGCTTACCTCCCCCTAATTCGAGATACAAATGCCCCGGGGACTTGGCGTTACTAAAGAGCATAGTGCTGCACATCGAAATACGAGCTTCCATAGTGCGGGATACGGATTGCTCATAGAACATACGATGTTGCTTGGCGAATGGCGTTCATCTTTTCCCCACATTCCCTTCATCTGATCTGATCCCCCACAAAAACCATTACATACCTACCCCAACACGTGTAGAATCCACGGTTATGGTCTACCAACGTGTCGATTTACCCTCGGCTTGGATTTTTCGGCTCGGCGGACCGGAACATTTTCTCGGCTTCTCCAAAGTGGTGTTTGTCTCCGTGCCAAGTCGGAGGAACACACGTTTTGGTAAAACCGGCTTGTGGGGAAATCCTTTAGGTTTAACATAATCACGGAGTACGGAGTAGTTAGTTACCGAGTTCTGCTTACAAGGTGCATACGCTTCCTGTATATACTGCATTTCCCCCCGCTTTTTTTTTTTTTTTTATGAGGGCTCAGGTTCGCATGTTTTGCAAAGTCACGTGTTGGTACGCAAGGTTCAATTTGCTTCTGATTAGGAAACTCATGTTGAGCCAACCTACTATAAGAATCTGGTATGTCGGCACCAACACAGCCTGGAGTGAATTTGATCTTGTTCAAGCACTAATATATATATGCTAGGTCCTCTAGGGCTGTTATAAGTCTAGCTCTATACATCCAATGATTTACACAACCATCGCTAAGCAATCATGATCAAGCCGCCGCCTCAATAGCCTTCTGGAACTCAGCACTGAACGCATAATCAGTGTATCCCTTAGGGTCCTTAGGCACATAGAAAGTGGCCCTATCATATGGCACAAACGGAATGCCATTCTGAACCCGGAACGGCAAGTCCGGGTTCGAAATAAACGGCCGCCCAATGCCAACAATAGCATCATAATCCGCATACTCAACATCAACCGCCCGAACCGCCGACTCAGCGTCATACCCACCAGCAAAAATAACAGGCGAAGCCTTCCCATAAGCCCGCAGGAAGAAATCCAACCGATCCGTAGCATCAACATCAGCACCCCCCGCAATTCTCGACTCCACCAAATGCACATAAGCAAGTCCCAGCTTAGCCGTCTGCACCGCCAGATACTCAAACTGCGGCTTCGGATCCTTCATGCGCATCCCCTGGAACGTACTCCACGGACTAAACCGAATCCCCGTGCGATCAGCACCAATGGCCTCAACAACAGCGCGCGACACCTCAAGCGCGAACCTCGCCCGACCCTGCACACTACCTCCCCACGCATCCGTGCGCGTATTGCAGATATCCTGATTAAACTGATCAATCAGATAGCCGTTCGCGGCGTGGATCTCCACACCGTCAAAGCCCGCCGCAACGGCATTGCGCGCTGCCTGTGCATAGTCCGCGATCCAGGCGTAGATTTCGGTCTCCGAGAGCGCGCGCGGTGTGGGCGCGTCCGCGCTCACGGCCGTCGCGCTACTCGAGACGAGATCGTATCCGCCCTCCGCTTGTAGGAGCTGCGGGTTGGCTGGCCGGCCTACCGCCCACAGCTGGACGTAGATGTAGCTGCCTTTGGCGTGCACGGCGTCCGTGACTTCTTTCCAGGCTGCGATCTGCGCGTCGTTGTAGATGCCGGGTGCGTTGGCATACCCGCCGGCCCGGGCGGAGATCGTGGTGGCTTCGGTTATTAGCAGCGTGCCTGGGACGGACGCGCGCTGGGCATAGTAGTCTTTCACGATGGGGAGGGGGACGTGGTTGTCGGAGGCGCGGTAGCGGGTCATGGGTGCCATGGCGATGCGGTTGGCGAGCTCCATGCGGCCGACATGCAGGGAAGTGAAGAGTTTGGTCATTTTGGGATATATATTGTATATATTGGATTTGGTTTTAACTGGGGATTAGAATACATTTGGGGTGAATGGCCGTGGTTTTATATCTTGCATTTGATCGAAGTATCAGTATTCCCTTGCTTCGCAGAACTTCCAAGGGTCTCCACTTGGATTAACAAGCAATGGATTTAAGTGTCCGAGACCATAACGCCTTTGAACATGAGACCGAGCAAGTCTCACTCTCACTAGTCGCGATAGGAGCAAGTGGGCGATTCTGATTTGTTATTGTCCCGGTGGCACCACTGCCCGACAGGGGTTGAATTAATAATACACTGTAGAGTTGCCCACCTATGTGTATAATGTAGAATAGCAGATCATCAAGAATTGGAGATTCTCGCCGTTTCTTTGACATTCAATGGTAGCTGAAAGTAACAAGAAGGAGCTACATATGCACTGAGTTGTACAAGTGTAGATATCGCCAAACGCCATCCTCTGGCGCAGCCATGGACTATAGTCATTGCACAAAAAATGATTCCTGGTATCATAACGGATGGATAAAAAGACAGAAGGAAAAAAAATGACATCATCGCTCCAGGCGATCAACGGTGGCTTCGAGCTGTGCGTTGAATGCCCGAATTTGGTTTAAGAGACCGCCTTGTGCTCCACGGGCCCGGGAACTCACGTCGGCGACGGTGCGGAGCATGTATTCGAGATCTGTAGAAGAATCCGCAGTTGAAGCGGAACGTTGCTTGTTGCGGTCGAGGGCCAATTCAAGGCTGTGAAGGGAATTGCTAATCGTGGATCGTGACTAGGAACTATTGTTAGTAATGTTATCGCCAGGGCTGTTAGGGAACGTTCTCACCGAGTTGGCTTTCTCCTGCTCAATGTGTCTGCTGCGCACCGCATCCATCTGCAAAGCTATGTTCTCGCGTTCTCGGCGGACCCGGTATAGATGACTCCGTAGATCCATCATCTCCCGCTTAGTCTTCTTCAATTGCACACCAAGCACAAAATTGCTATCGAGTATCCCGCTTAGGTCCATGAGGCGGCTCTCAAGCTCCGAGCCAAATACTTCGACGGCTTTTCTCTTGCGCGACCACTCCGCACGTCGCGTGGTATTTTGTTCGTTCGCAATCCCATCCTTGAGTGTATTTAGTGTTTTCTCTAGAGTCTCGCGGCAGATCTGGCTCAATACATCGGCCGGGTTGACACCGCCGCGGTTGGGCATCTTGGCCTTCTGATGCGTGGTGAGTTCATCGGCGGATTCTTCTTCATCTCCAGACCCGTCGGCCGTAGATGTTGCGCCACCTAGAGAATTGACATTGGCGAGACGGTAAACGGTGACCGGGACTGTTTCTCCACGAGGCGCTCGAGTCTTGCGACGAGGCTGTTCTTGTGTAGGCTCAGGCTCAGGTTGGTATTCTGTCTCGGGTTCAGGTTCGGGCTCTACTACGAGCTTAGCCTTCTCTGCAGGTCTCCTGCGCTGTGACTTGGGTGCTGCAGATTCCGCTTCTGCTTCAGGCTCCGGCTGGTCTTCTGCGACACGCTCGGGCTCAGGCTCCATCGCGCGATTGGCCTTCTTTCCGGGCCTACCACGTTGAGTCTTAGGTACTGCAGATTCCATTTCGGGCTCGGGCTGCTCTTCTGTGGCAGGTTCAAGCTCCGGCTCCGTTGCACGATTGGCCTTCTTTCCAGGCCTGCCACGTTGGGGCTTGGATACTGCGGATTCCGCTTCGTGCTCGGGCTGATTTTCTGTCTCGGGCTCGGGCTCAGGTTCGGCTAGTTTGGTCTTTTTCCTGGGTCTGCCACGAGGCTTGGGCAGCACAGATTCTGCCTCTGCCTCTGGCTGATTTTCTATCTCGGGCTCGGGCTCAGGTTCGGCTATGTTTTTGGTCTTTTTCCCGGGTCTGCCACGAGACTTAGGTACCACAGATTCTGGCCCCGCCTCTGGCTGGTCTGCTGCCACAGGCTCAGGCTCTGGTTCAGGCTCCACTGCGTGCTTCGCTTTCTTCCCAGGTCTACCACGTGGTGGCTTGGGCACAGCAGGTTCCACTACAGTTTCCGACTGGTCATCCTTTTGTGATGTTGGTTTGCGGCCCGGCCCCGAAGAGGACTCCGTGACATCTGGTATAGGTCCAGGTGAGATCTTCTCAGTCTCGACCGCTTCAATGGTCTTCTTGTTGAGCAAGGGTCTTCCACGAGGCCGTTTAGCCTTTGGGGCTCCCTCAAATTGGGCTACCGCGGGCTCATCCTGGGTCTCGGTTGCTGGCTCCTGCACAGAGGCTTCAACGTGCAGTTCCGGAGTCTTATTCGCGGTGGATTGATGCTGCTGAGCCTGTTTCATCTCCGTAGAAGACAATTGAGACGTCTGGCTGTCTTCCTCTGGTACATTATCTTTGGGTGGTGAAACATGCTCAGTCATGTCAACATCACCCTCAATAGTCGGTGCAGGGATGGCTTCAAGAGCCTCGGCGGGGCTACCACGCGGTGATAAGGCCTTTGTTGCAGATTGATCTGTCTGAACAATTGGAGAAGCAGTTTCTGGGGTAGCCTGTTGATTCGTCTTGATTATTTCGATTCGTTCCTCGACCCGTGGTGTGCTATGTCGTTTCTCGCGTAGTTGCTCTATGTTTTCAGGCTGCTCGGCCTGGCCTTTAGGCGATGAAAGTGGCGCTTGTGATTCTGCAGCTACTGCAGGCGCCGTAGGGCTAGACACTGAAGTTGTGCCTTGGGCTAGTTGCTCTTCTATCGGGGGTTGAGCTTCGACTAAGGTCTCCGGAATGGGTAAGACGAGAGGCTGTGGAGAAACCTCCTTGGGAATCTCCGATGGAGGAGGTGTATCTGTATCTGGATGTTCCTGGATGTGGCTTGTTTGAGACTCTGTGCTACCATTGTGATCAACAGACTGTACATCGCCATTCCTAGGTCGCCCGCTATTCGAACGAGAAGGAGTACCTTCTGATCCGTTAGTAGAACCTTAGTAATCATTAGCGCATATTCCTAGCATAGCACACCAGCCTGATCCTTAACATACTGATCTTTCTCCTCTTGTTACTTCGCGTTTGTTCAGGTCTATCGTCCGAGGAGGGTACGTCATATGCCGAGGGCCTTTCTGGGAGCTTGTTGCGCGCACTTCCCGGTGTGCGCTCAATTGCCGGGGCTTGCGATCTTGGTTGCGATACTTTTGACGGTAGTGGTGTTGTGTCCGGCGTGGTCTGTGTTCGCGGTGGATTCTGAGCTTCAGGGACAGTCGCAAGTGGTGCAGTCGCTGATAATCCGAGCGATGGGCTACCAAATGAGAACCCAAAATTGACCTCTCTTGCTTTGCGCGTCCTAAACGAGCAAGTCAGTTTCTGTTATGGTTCCGCGGGGTATAGACAAGGCGCGTACGCAGCTCCGCGCTGCCGCATTAGCTGCCGCTCCTCTCGCGCTGTCAATTGTTAGCAATTTCACACAAAGATAAGCACTTCACTGCAGCACATACAGGCTTCCATTTTGGAGGAACGGCGTCGAAAAGACGCGTCGTGTTGATAGTTGAGGAGTAAAGACGGTCGGAGCCAAGGCTATCGGGGCCGATCCTTTTTTGTGCCGACTTCTCCGCGTTCTCAATCTTCAACTCTTCAGCTATTGCACATTCTTGGTTATTCTCGACTAGTATTTCCAAATGGGTTGGCTCTGGGGTGACAAAAATGATACTGTCCAAAAGCTCGATCCCGGGCTTCGTGACTACCTCGAACAGGAGAAGCCCGACAAATATGTGCCTGGTCCTAATGTGAAGCCGCCCTCCACGCCCGCGCAATCGCCCGAACCGTCCGATCCCTCGAAGCCCAAAGTTCCTGCAGCATCACTCTACCCAGATGGCCGTTACGCTTATCTGTGGAAAACCTACAAGCCGCCGATGGACCTTGAAGAACAACCCGGAGTCGGCGTGGCATCGCGAGTGATTGAAAAGTACAAAGAGCGCGGCGACACAGTGCAGCGAGCAGCAATGGAGAACTGTGCCTTGGAGCATGAAGCCCTGACATACTGCTTCCAGACCGGAAATTGGCGCAAGCAAATTGAAGCCCGGCTGACCATGTGCTCGGCGGAGAATGCCACCTTTTCGCGATGCTTTATGACCCAGACTGTGAGTTGGTGCTGGAACTCATAGCTTTCTCCATCATGTCGATTCTAATATGTTTCCTTAAACAGAAACTCCTCCAAGCACTCGGTTACGCATCTAGCTTCGAATATGACGCCGAAAAAGAAGAGCGTATTCAAATGCATGGCGACAAACTCTACCACCAGATGCTAGACTATGAAAAGCGAGTTGACGATGCGAAGGCCGCTGGAATCGCGCCACCGCCTATCACGTCGCTTTTCAACCCAGATAAGCCACCGCAAACCCCGGAAGTCGGCCTTGAGATTCCTGGAGGAGAGCCAATCCCAGCAGAGCTCAAACCGTCCAAGCCATTAGAGAAGCTCACACCCCATGAGCGAGAGTTAGAAATCCGGGCACACTACGCGCAGCGGGAGCAGCACAAGATGTATGCGGAGGAGGCTGCGCCCTTCATAAAGTCTCAAGAGGATGCTCGACAGAAGCGACAGGAGAGAGCTGTAAGCTGGTTTGGAGAGAGACTCGGAAAGTGGCTGTCGTAGAGTCTGGTGCTTGTACTTACTATTCTGCTTTGAAAAATGGCGACTTGGAGAGGCGTTGGGGTTTCTTTGCATTGTATAGTTAGCTCTTTTCTACTCCGTATAGACCAATAAATAGTCTTTGAGGCTGATTACGTTCACGTTCCTCTATCTTTGATATCTGTTTCAAATTCTGCTCCTAGTGCTTACCTCTAGGGCTGGATATGTACTTCTCCGTACTCCGATTCAAATCATAAACATTTCTAATATAAACAGCCATTGTAACATAATCTAATAGATATAATAACCCAATAGCTATAGAATGCTATATAATACGTACAAAAACATATACAAAAGGACAATGTCAACAAAACCCTCTACCGGTGTCAGTTGCCGTCGGTCGCGTTCTCCGCAAACAACTCGAAGCATCATCGGAGAATCACGACTCTCTTCCCTTAACCTTCTCTCCCCTTGTCCCCAACCCCTTGTCGCATCTTTTTTATTTTCTCCCATTGATATTTGAATTGCACTTCCTCCTCCGTCTTCTTACCTGACCTAGATCAACTGGATCTTCTCCAATTCAAAACCAACCCGGATATCACCTGGCAAAAAAAGATACCTGATTGATCATTGGACTCGGAAATCCTCTATTCTCTCTTTTCTCTCCAGGCCATATCACCTTACTTGAAAACCGGTGGTGCTTAACACGCTGAGCTGCGGCGCTCGCCATGAAGGCCACCCCGTTGCTCATCTCATGGCATAATGACAATGCCCCTATCTACTCGGTGCATTTCGATCCCAATGGCAAGGGCCGGTTAGCTACGGCTGGAAAGTACGTTCTGTCTGTTCTCTCAGAGTGTTGAACGGTTTTACTGACTACTTTATTTTTAGTGACAATAACGTCCGAGTATGAACCCGCCCTCCGTCGCCCTTCGCATACCTTGATCTGACATGTTCTACAGCTCTGGAAAGTCGAGTCTACCGGGGAGGAAAGAAAAGTCTCTTATCTGAGTACTCTGATGAAGCATACACAAGCCGTCAATGTGGTCCGCTTCAGCCCGAAAGGTGTGTTTTTCTGTAGGTTAGCATATGACTACAAGTCTGACGGATGTAGGTGAGATGCTGGCATCTGCCGGAGACGATGGAAATGTCCTACTCTGGGTACCATCGGAGATACAAACGCAAGCTCTAGGTGAAGATCATTCGGACGATAAAGAGACTTGGCGAGTGAAGCACATGTGTCGCTCGTCCGGCGCTGAGATCTACGACCTGGCCTGGTCTCCTGATGGTGTCTTTATCATTACTGGCAGCATGGACAACATCGCACGGATTTACAATGCCCAAACTGGTTAGTTACCCTCGAACGGTTCTCATACAACGCGATAGGCTAACGATCGAATACAGGGCAAATGGTTCGGCAGATTGCCGAGCATTCTCACTATGTTCAGGGTGTAGCATGGGATCCGCTTAACGAGTTTGTCGCGACTCAGTCGTCCGACCGATCCGTTCATATTTATACATTGAAGACTAAGGATGGACAATTCACATTGACACCACATGGGAAAGTGCTCAAGATGGATCTCCCTGCCAAACGTATCGCATCTAGCAGTCCTGTGCCTCCAGACGTGACGAGCCGGTCTCAACCAAGCACTGCAAATTCCATTGCTATTGCCTCGCCTGCTCCCTCGACTCCGGGGACCCCAATGGCTTCCAATCTACCCATGGATCCTCCTCCAGTCTCACACAGCCGGCGTTCTTCGTTCGGCTCGTCTCCTTCGATCCGGCGATCCGCGTCTCCTGCTCCATCTCTCCCGTTGCCCGCTGTTAAGCCGTTGGAAGTCTCATCCCCAAGTCTTGGTGGCCTGGGGGTCAAGAACGCCAGTATCTATGCCAACGAGACGTTTACTTCTTTCTTCAGGCGACTGACCTTTGCTCCTGACGGAAGCCTGCTGTTTACACCAGCTGGTCAATTCAAAACCAGTCACGTATCAGCTACGGATTCTACAAAGACGACAGACGAGATCATCAACACAGTTTACGTCTACACACGGGCTGGTTTCAATAAACCCCCGATCTCTCACCTTCCAGGACACAAGAAGCCATCTGTAGCCGTCAAATGCTCCCCGGTCTTTTACACGTTGAAGCAGGGCACCCAACCTGCGAAAAACATCACCCTTGATACATCTTCAGGCGAGGAGATGTTCTCGTCCCTCCCAGACCCCGTGGTATCAGGAAATCCACCTTTCACCAGCCAACCCCACATAGTCCCTCCATCCTCAACGACGGCAGATTCATCAAAGCTTCAACCATCCCCAAAGGCTGCCGAGCACGGCGGCAATGAAGCAAACCACAGCTCGGCGCCCGTCTTTGCACTTCCTTATCGCATTGTATATGCTGTTGCCACTCAAGATGCTGTCTTGGTATATGACACACAACAACAAACCCCGCTATGTATCGTCAGCAATTTGCATTTTGCTACTTTTACTGACTTGACCTGGTAAGTACTGTTTCTATGATTGATACCCACGTGTCGATTTCTAACGCACAACAGGTCGGCCGATGGATTAACATTGATCATGAGTTCCTCTGATGGCTTCTGCTCTTCACTCTCGTTCGCCCCTGGAGAGCTGGGCCAAACGTACACAGGACCAACTTCTGTGACTCATAATGTTTCAAACCCAACCACCCCTGCGATAAATCTCATACCTCTGCTGACACCAACGCATTCGGCGTCTCCACATGTGCCATCTCCAATCAAGACGAGCCATGCCCCCTCAAATAACACAGGACCCATACCGCCAGCCAGTCCCGCACGGTCCAACTCGGCCTGCTCAGTCGCGACACAGCTTTCCACGCAGCCAGCCCCTGCGGGAGTCGTGAATAATCCTACTCCCACTCTCGGGACTGTTCCGTCCGTGACGGCAACAAACTCTGCGCAGCCACCGACTCTTCCAATGACAACTCCGCCACAAACGCCTATCTCAGGCGCTCCACAAAATGGGACCACTACGACTGGTAGTAGCGTTCTGGGAAAGCGTGCAAGCGAGTCTGAAAGAGAAGGTAGCAAGGATGAACCAAATAATGCGTTGCAGCAGCCGCCGAAGAGGCGCCGTGTGGCACCCACCCTTATCTCAGCAGCGACTGATGGAGCCTCATCCTCAAAGGAGGACAAGCCTTAGAGTCTCCGGCCTCTTAACCCCTTTCTCAGCTCCGACACGCAAGGCATGAAATGACCAATTTGCTTTGCTAGCTGCTGCTTCTTATGATTCATGTTTTTTTTTTAAATCATTGCATATGCTATATCCTACCCGTATTCTATGTTCTGTATTTGCACTCTCTTTGTTTCTGATTTTTTCAACAATCGGGTCTATGGTTGGTGGAGTTGTGAGAGCCGATCTACCTTTTTATGATTGCTGATCCCCTTGATCTATGCATGAATTGTGGCAGAGAATAAGGAATAAAAATGTATCTTTACCTTTAAAGTAGACGATTAGGGTGATCATTTGAAACGACGCTCTCGAAATATAAAAGTCGGTCTAAATAATCAAGACTACTTAGCATGTATCAGTTATTGAAAGCTATACTGCATTGCATGTGTGTATCCCCCCTTGAACATCAAGCAAACTATACTATAAGTCAAGCAGTCCCATAATAAAAATAGTAACCAGGCACAACAAACCCGGTGCGAGTAAGTCATTCAGTATCCTCCCCATTAGGCGTGAAACTCGACAGTTCACCCAAAACAGCCAAAAGCGAGTAATCAGACGGCAACACCGATCTCGCCTCGGTAGCATGTGTGCTAGTTGTCACGGTGGTGACATGGAGTGTTTTCCCAAGCTCGGAATTATCAAACCGAGAAGCAACGGGGGCAACACCCAACTCATTTGCCCAGCGAAACAGCGCCTCAACACTGCGAGAACCACCAGCTGCGAACAGAAACTCGGGATATTTGATATTAGGGAGATGGTCTAGGATATAGGTGGCGGCTCTCCCATTTCCGAAAGCAACATGCGGCGGTTCAACCTTCACCGATGTTGCCTCGCGGACGACGTGGAAATCCGCACGTCCGCGGGCACCGTTGATTTGATAAGCTAGCTCGGAGGCCTGGCGAGCGGCTACTTCGTGGTCGAGCGCGCCGTCGTAGTGGAATGTTAGGGAGCAGCGGCGATGCTCGATTCCGCTGCCTTCTGTTCGCTCGTGGAAATACTCCATGTATCTTTTGATGCCGGGACGCCATTTCATGGCGCTCTGGGGCACGAATGGAATCCATGAATCTGATTCGGGTTCTTGTAGGAAGCACCCATTCTCGGCGATGAAACCGAGCTCGCAGGGGAGTTTTTCGAGTGCTTGTTGGAGCTGCTCGGTACTCCGGTTGCTGAGTATGTATAAGATGTTCTTGGAGTCGTTTATGAGCGTTTGTAGAGTTGAACAGGCTTCGTTTGAAGAGACAGACTCTCCTATGCCGAAATTTGGACCGAAGATTGCGCCGTCTTCTAAAAAGAACATCCGTGCTCTGGCGGCGAGATATGACTTTTTCAAGTCAGTAGGTGAAAGTGGAGAGAGGTGGTTTGTCTGACGAATTTGCTGTATCTCGTGGGCTTTTGTGAGAGCATCTTGTAGCCCCATGTGCCATTTGAGGGCAGTATAGGGAGATTTGCAATCGAGCAGGAAATTCCAGTTGAGTTTCTGCTCTCCCGCTGACATCTCGAGTGCGGATTTTATCACATCGGCACATTGTTTGTAATCCCACGGATTGACGAGAAGCTTATGGCCACGAAAAATAGAGGCACTACCCACAAACTCGCTGAGAATCAGGGATCCATGTTTGTGGGAGTTAAGCTGTCCATCTTGGCAGTGAATGAAATCATGGCTTGTCAGGTTCATCCCCTCGCGCAGATTGGTGGCCATGAAGATATGTGCAACACTTAAGAGGGCAATGAATTGGAAGTGGCTGATATCCTGCTTGACCAGCACCAAGGGCTGGTGAGTGATGGTTGAATATGTTGCATTGATCCTCATTGCGA